AATATTTTTTTTTATATTTATAACTCTAAAAAAGATTATTTTAATATCTATTTAGCTAAAAATAGTTTATTAAAAGATTAATTATAAATATTATAAATATTAGTTTAAATTTATTTTTAAAACTATTATAAATAAGATAGCTTATTATATCTAAGTTTTTATAGACTTATTTTTATTATCTATTTTAAAGTATATTAAATAATATAATATCTTTTTAAATAAATATTTTTAGTAGAGTAATAGTTTTTAATATTTTAACTTTAAGAAAAATATTAGATATTTATTAAACTAATAAATTATATTAATCTAATTATATTTAATAAAATAATATTATATCTTAATTATCTTACTTTTATAAAATCTATCTTTATAGTTTCTTTAAAATAATTATAATAAAAGACTTATTATTTAATATAATAAATATATAAAATATAGTTATTAATAGTAAAATAATTAAAGAAGCTTTTTTACTTTATAAAAGTAGGATTTTAATTAGTTATAAGCTTTATAAAATACTTTCTAATAAAAGAATAATACTTAGTAATAATAAAGATATTATATAATAGTATTAAAGATCTTTTTTTTTATTTATTTTTAGTAATATAATCTTACTCTTATTCTAAAGAATCTTAGGAAGTATAATCTTACTCTTTATTCTAAAGATTATTTTATATAATTAATATAATATTTATTTAATAAATCGCTCGCTTTAATTTTATATTAAATTTATTTTTATTAATAATATTAATTATTTATTTTTAATAAATCTTTAGTAGTTCTAAAGAGTATTTTTTATAATTTAGATTTTTATTAAAAATAGTATTATAAATAAACTTATAATTATTTATTTAAAAGAATTAAACTTTTTAGATATTATTTACTTAGTATTTAATTAAATAGTTTATCTTTATATATTAGTATATCTTATTTAATTATAAGATTTTCTAAATTTTTATATAAATATAATAATTATAAATTTATAAGTTTAAAAGATTAATAAGAATAAAAGTATTTATTCTCTAATAATAAAATTCTTATTATAGAATAATCTATTTTCTTAAATTAAATTTTATTAATAATTTATTAAATATATATATAATAACTTAAACTATTTTTAGCTAGAATTCTTTAGAAAGCTATAAATTCTTAAGAAATACTTTTACTCTAATAATAATTACTTTTTTAGATTACTTAGCGAAATTATTCTATTCCGGAGTATTAATAATAGAGTATTAAATAATTATCCTATTTTTTTATAAAAAATAGATAATATCTTTATTTATAAAGATTTTATTATCTAATTAAAATATATAAATTAGTAAGTTAAATTAAATTTATAATTATAAAATAAATTAAATAATTACTTTCTAATAATTGCTTTTTTACTTATAATTTTATATCTAATAAAAATAAATCTTATTAAGATAAAAATAAAAGATCTATTTATTATTATTATAAGTCTTTTATAATATTATAAGATTAAAATATATTTAGCTAAATAGATTAAAATTTATATTTTAAATATAATATAAGACCTATTATAGTATTTAAGAGAGTTAATAAGTCTTATAAAGCTCTAATTTATATTTTATAATTATAAATAAAATAATCTATACTTTTTTTATTATTTAAATAAGTTATTAAATTTATTTATTATATATATAATTAAGATATTAATACTATTAAAAAGCTATTATTTTTAAAATAAATAGTAAAAAAGAATATTTAATATTAAATAATATAATAGTAAATATTATTAAGAATATAAAATCTACTTAAAAAAATATAAAGAAGTTACTAATCTTCTTTAAATAAAAGAAGATCTTTCTAGTTATTTTATTAATAATAATAAATTTATTAAAATTAGTTTTATATTCTTTTTATTTTATAAATATAATTAAAATAAGATTATAATAAAAGCTAAATAAAAACTCTATTTTTAATAAAATAAAAATTATAGGATTACTAAAGTAGCTTATAGTCTAAAGTTAGATTTTATTTATTCTATAAAGCTTAATTATTATATTATTAATCTTTAGTAAATTATTAAGAGATTTAAATTTAATAAAAAAACTCTTATTATTAATAATATATTTATTAGTAGCTAAATTAATTAACTAATAATCTTTAATCGATAATCTTAGATTAATTAAAAAAATAGTATTAATTAAAGAAAAAATATCTTATAAAAATAGTATTATAAGTAATATCTATTAGGAAGATATAAATAGAAAAGATATAAATATCTTAACTTACTTTTTTATATTTAACTAAAAACTATTTAATATAATTAAGAAGGACTTTTTATTATCTTTTTTAATCTTTATATAGTAAGACTAAATAATATCTTTTTCTTTAATAAGTTTTATAAGAAGTTTTTTAGTTTTTCTTTTTATTTTTTTATTTAACTTTTTTATATTAATAGTTAATTCTTTAATAATAATTAGATCTAGTTTTTAGTTATTTAGTCTTATTAATTTAATAAAATAAAGATATATAATAAAAAAGTACTTTTTTTTATATATATATTATAGCTATCTTTTTAAAATCTTATTTAATAAAAAGATTATTTAATTAATAAAAGAAATAGCTAATTTAGCTTCCTATTTATTATTAAGTATTATAAAAACTTTTTATAAAGCTTTACTTTTTAGTTTCTTTCTATTAAAAAGTACTTACTTAAAATAATAAGTATTAATAATACTTATAAAAATAGTTTATTATTTTATTATAAATATCTTAATATATTATTAGTAATAGAACTATAATTTATAAAATATTAATACTTATAAAAAGTTATAAATAATATTTTCTTTAGACTTTATAAAATCTATCTTTATTATTTTATATTTTATATAGAGATTTTCGACTTTTAATAATTATATATTAATATTAGTATTTTTAATTAGAATAAAAAATAGCTTATTTTATTATTTTTTAATAAGTTATATTTATATCTTATTAATAAAAAAGAAGTATTTTTAAAGTATTCGAAGAAGCTCTTTTATATCTCTTATATTAATTACTAAGTTTTATAATTCTAAAGAAAGATAGTATTTTATTCTTTTTAAAAATTTTATTAAATAATATTTAAATAATTTAGTAATCTAATAAATCTTATTTATAATTATAATAATTAGTATTATAATCTATAAATATTTTACTAAGTAAATAATTATTTATAGGATCTTTAGTATATTTCTTATTAGTTTTAAGTAATTATTTAGATTTTATTAAAGAAGAAATCTAGCTTTTTTTTTAAATTAATAGATTTAGATATTATTATACTTTTAGACTCTATTTAGAGTTCTTTATATCTAAGAATTAAGTTTACTACTAAAGCGAGGATCTAAAAATTATCTTTTTTTTATAAATACTATAATTAATATCTAAGAAAGTAAGATTATTATAAAAGAGTAATATCTTAGTATTACTATATTTATTCTTTATATTATTTAGAGGTAAGAAAGAGGTAGGAAGTAGATTAGATTATACTTTATCTAGTACTTTAACCTATTAACTTCTTACGTACTTCTTACTTAGGAGTATTAGGGGTTATTAGAGGCTTAGATAAGCGACTAAGTAGTAATCTTATAAAGAAGAGTTACTAGCTAACCGGGCTTATAACTATCGAACGAAGGAATAGGGCAAGTGACTTGATACTAAGATCTTACTATATCGAGCAAGTGGTAAAATGAGTGTGTTATTGAGAAGTGCAAAGTCTTCTCTCTATATATCCCTAAGTGCTTACTAATAAGCAAGAAGTGGGTCCTGCTTATATACAAAGAGAAAATCTGGTAATGACGGGACGGGCAAGGAGTCATTCTGGTCGACAGTCCTTTTAAAGGTAAAATAGGAACTTAGGCGATATATATATTTATAGAAGTTTCTAGTACGTATATGAATCGTACGGGGTTCGTCACCTGATCGGTGCCGAGCCTTAGCACGCACATTTCTTTTAAATCTTGGGTCCCCCCGGGACCCCCTGAATTCTAGCAAGAATTAGTCTTGGCCCACGTAGCCCAATACACCTTTGTTTCCTTCTCCCAAGCCAACGTATCTTACCCGGTTGACAGGCCTTACACCTGAAACCAGTATATTCTTACAGACCCTGACCCTCGGAGGGGCGAGTGGAGGGTCCAAGATCATGGACCACCCGGAGGGTCACTGCCAGGTCTAGTTCTATATGCCTTAGGCAAGTGGACCTTGGCTTGGCCAAGGGTTACTAAGCGCACAACAAACTTGTTAACGCGAGAGAAAGGCTTGGCAAGTATTATGGAATTAAGTAATGCCTACGCAGCTAGTCAACCAATTGAAAACCATGCGATCCTTACAGAATCTCACCATGGAAGATGGAAGATCATGTGACTTCGAGTACTAGATATGCCTTATGTAATCAAGCTTAGTAAGAACCGCACAGAAACAGTGGATTTTACTCAGATAGAAAATACAGAGTTCTCCATACTATCAGCCGTGGTGCCCATACATTTCAATACGTCAGATTTCTGTCATGTAATCCTAGTAAGGAACTATATATAGGGACTACAATGTGGTATTGACTCTAGGAAATTACTATGGACAGGAGGCTTTATTGGTTGGATACTCCGAATTGGGCAATACCACTCCGTAGCTGCACATATAAAACGACAACTATACATATTCAGTCCATATCCAGACTATACTCCGTACTGTACCCCGTAGAGGCGACATCCTTGACTTCAAGGTGGATTCTCACCGCCCCACAATGTGGTTTTTTTTACTCCGAAGCCTATCGAAGTAACAATCCGAGAGCAACTGGCTCGTCAAAGGGCCCCATTTCCTTCAGCCGGTGCATTATCAGAGTGAAAATAGTGTGTCCCGCAACCTGGATATTTCATAGACCCCAGCTGCCGTCATCTTGTCGGGCATATCCAGACGCCACATTCTGCCCCTCCGGAGTCCATCACTGAACTCCGAGATTTGCAAGGCCTAGAATCATTCCAACCTCGGACTAAATCAAAATGACAAGCATCCAACACCCCCAATCAGTGACTACAGTCTTTCTAGACCAGCCACCCAGTTGTCTAGAGTTCTGCCCCGAGGCCCCAGACCATTTCATCGTGGGCACCTATCTGCTATCAGAGAACAAAACAGAAGATGGAGAAATCGAGCAGTCCAAAACTGGGAGTCTCCAACTATGGAAATTAGACCCTGTTAGCAAATCATTGTAAGCCAACCAAAATCAATCATGTTACCTCGCAGACAGCCCGAGAACGAGTATAACACCCTCATAACGAAGCCACTCTAACAGCTCTTAGATCCCAAATCCAAAGAATTGCTGTCCCATACGCAGTGTTCGACCTGCACTTCCACCCAAGAAACAAAAACCTGTTCGCAATTGCAAGCAGCGTGGGTTCAGTGTCTTTGTTCCAAGTATCCACAACGAGAGACGCATCCGCAAGCCCAAGCATCACCCAACTATGGACAAAGCAAGTACACGAAGACCCATCAATCCCGGCACTATTCCTCGCCTGGGCACCGCAAAACTGGTTCCCCCAGGCAACAGCAGATGGCTTCGCCGTCACATTCTCAGATAGCCGGACAGCCGTCTTCGGGACCGAGGGCGATATCTATCAAGAAGAGAGTGTAGAAGAATGGGGCACATACGAAGCCAAGCAGATGATCGAAGTCTGGTTTGTTGCTTTGTCAACAAGCACAGAAACCCCAGATACCGAGACGCAGAACCAGAACCCAGCTGCGATCCCGTTCATGTTCACGGGTAATGACTTCGGCTCACTGCACACGCGCCGATTTGATAATACCACCGAGTTGGAAGATCCAGATGAGCATGTCCCGCCCATGCTGCTCGAGCATGATGATCGAGCTCGTCACCACACTGCTGGTGTCACTGCTATCTTGCCTCTTGATGTTCCCTTGGTTGATGATGCACCGGTTCTGCTGACGGGATGCTATGACGAGAGTCTTCGTGTGTATCATGCTACGCGGAAGGGAGAGGTTCTCGCTGAGCAGGGGCTGGATGGTGGGGTTTGGCGACTGCAATTGCTAAATACAACGAGGATTCCGGCCTCGGATGGCCCGTCTAATGTATCTGAGTACCGCTTTTTGGTGCTGGCGAGCTGCATGCATGCTGGGACGAGGCTTGTACGGGTTACGTGCAAGCAGGAAGATGAGGCTCCGAATTGGGGGATTGAGGTTCTGGCGAAGTTTACCGAACATGAGAGTATGAATTATGCCAGTGGTGTGTGGGAGGGTGGACAGGGAACGACTCAGTCTTCTAAGATTTTGTGCGTCTCGAGCAGTTTCTATGATCGCAGGCTCTGTGTTTGGACTGTTGATCTATAGCCAAATAAAAAAGAAGCCATGCCGATTTGGAAGTCCATCTTGATGCTGCGGCCTTATCATCTGGTAGTCTACACCCGGGAGTTGGCTAAAATACTACTGAAAATTCGTAAGCCGAAATTATTCTAACATGAATGTGGTCATGAACACGCTAGAGAAAGCAGATGCATAAGCGACAGGTATACAAGTACATCCGCGCCCGAGGACAAGAAAGAAAAAGCATATCCGAAGAGAGTATATCGTTCCCATTGATCCATTGAGCGTTTAATTAGACAATAGTCTCCAGCTCGCGAGCATAACCCAAAGCATTCTCAATAACGGTGCCGCTAGCCACCAGAATATCCTTCTCAGACCGAGCAGTCGCCTCGGGCTCAACGGGGAAGTATATCCGGCCGTCTCGGAGGATCCAGCCGCGCTGCTTGGCAAATTCAATCACTGCACCCTCAGACTCGAGGAACAGGAGGTTCTTGGCGTTGGAAATGGGGAGGGAGGGGTATGCCTTCTCTGAGCAACCTGCGATTTCATTGCGGATAGTGCCGATGAGAACCTAGCTTTTGATTAGTATGCGTGATGAAAGACACATCAAATAGCGAACTGAGCACGCATGCAACTTACATTCGAAAACAGACCAAAGTCTTCCGACGGAACACGCTCGGACTTCGTCTCTCTCCACACCTTGTCGTAGCTTCCCTCCATCAAGTTGCGCTCCAGCTCAACGGGGTACTTGATGCACGCATCGTCCTCAACACGGCCACCCTTCAAGCTCGCCTCTTCCACCAATCCCTCTAGCACTGTGTGGAAGTTGGCACTGTCGCCCATGCTCAAAAGAAGAAGCAGATACAGTCCTGTAATCTTGCTGCGTTGGCTCGTGCTGAAATCGACTTCCGAAGAACTCTGCCCGGGCAGACCGGCATGTCTCTCAAGATCGTAGAATGGCTGCAGTTGCTGGTAGTACCGTGTGAATAGCTGGGCATCGGTCTGGCGGATGGAGGCAAGTGCTCCGAGTTCAAGGACTTGGCGGGCAAGGACGACTAGCTGGGGAGGTGTGGAGGAAGTCGGAATCAGGGCATTTTGCAGAAGGAGAGCTCGCTTGGAACGGCTGAGGAGGTCGTTGGCGGCGTCGAACTGTTTGCGCTCGATAGCACCGTGGAGCTCTGACACAAGGGACTGTAGATCGGACATGGTGGAGGCTGTGTGGGTTCAGGACAATGCTGAAAGGGAATAAGGCAGTCTAGCCGGATTATGACGAAGACAGTAATTGAAACGGCGGAGACGATAGAGGGTTCGAGTTTTGGTTGATGATTGTTGGTGACATTCCGATGCTCATGACGGAGCTGCTGTAGGCGGTCAGCTTTCAGTCACGTGTGGGCACTTTAATAATCGCCGATCTGGACGTTGACCCTTTACTACTACCACAAGCCAGGCTATTTAATTTGTTTTCTTGCTTGCTGGACTATTAGAACTGCTGCATGATTCAATATATGAAATAGCTATATATCACTCCAATTCATATGTCTACACATGGTCATTTGACAAGGTCAATTTCACAAGTGTACGGAACAAGGGTGTGCCTAGCCCTGTCACCGGATCCCACCCTTCGGTGGCATCCCAGCTCGCATTCCGTACCCGAGCATCACCTAGATTTCGTTCACAGCCCGTGGAGCTGCCTAGAACAATATCCGTGAGCCCTGTTTGCCCCTGACTATAAAGCCATGGGTTTAGGAACCCCATTCGAGGCCTACCCTGCGCAATAAGGGCAGAGTTGAGCCGAGAAACAATACCCGCAATCACTGGGGTTGAAGCACTGTACGCAGTTAGTTCATTGTTCTCTCTAAAAATCTGTCAAAAGACAAACCTTGTACCGCCGACCGAGATCCACTCGCTGTGGTCTCGAACGATGAAATTGGCGGCTTGGGCTGATATATCGGGATACCCTCTTCCCGTAGCATTGTACAGTCCATTCCATCGACTTCCAAGATGACCAAGGTATCCTTTCACTGCCTGGTCCTGATATTGGGGACGAGGAAAGACCTCTGAAAAGCCACCTCCAGAGAAGGAAACCGCTCTTTCGGGGTTGATGCCGTATGTTCCACCCACAGCTGTAACAAATGGACAGGATGCTGGGTATACAGGGAGAAATCTGGTTTGATTCGTTCCATCATTTCTCACACAAGAACTTCCCGGCCCAGCATCCCCGCTACCGAAAAGTATTGAAACACCCCGGGCAGCAAGCTGGGCAAATAAGCTACAAGTTGCGTTTAAATACGACGGTGGAAGACTCTGCTCGTTTTCTCCATACGAGTTGGAAAGCACCGCGGGGAGCTCTTCATCTGGGAGATTCAAGAGGTAATGTAGCTGTTCAAGATATGGCTCGTTTGATGATTCGGTAGCGTCTAGATGAGTTATTTCGGGGACAACAGGGCCGCGTCCCCCGGTACTATAAAATGTTGCTAGCACTTCATCCGCCAGCGGAATGGAGTACTGTACATCTAGGTTTGCCTCGACACTATCAGACATGGAGAGTTGATCATCCTGGCCGCCGTTGATCGAGACGACACTGAAGTTTGCGTCTGTGTGTCTTTGGGAGTAACGACGCAGAAACTCGTCGAAATCAGCGTGGCGAGCATATTGTTCCAGGAAACCAGATATCCCCAGTCGATTCCGCCACTCGGGCCTGGTGGTTGTGTTATCAATTCCATACAGATCCCGAAGGCAGTCTGGTGTGATAGTTACATCGCATCCAGCGGCTAGCTGCTCGGAAGTCACTACCTTCGGTTTGAAAATGAAGCTTCGTTGAGGTACAAGGTTGCCGAATAGAGTTGTAGGCTGAATCAATTGAATATGGTGATGTAAATCCTTAGGCACAGAATAACCAAGAGTTCGAATGGCGGTGCGTTCCTCGTCTTGTTGATGAAAGTAGAAGAACTCTGTTTTCAGCATCTGCTCGGCCTGCGAAATTGGAACTGTGAATGAGATCCACTGGCCGTCTAGCTTGATAGAACTGGCTGGAACATTTTCTGCCCGTAGCCATGCGATAATCCGGTCTGAAACGGCAGGAGATGGACTCAAAAATTGCCTCACTTCGTCTCTGCTCATATGTTGACCATAGCTCGCATGGCCTGGTGTAGAGAGCTCTATGACCTTTTGCTCGAACTTTCCAGCGTTATCTTGGGTCATTGCTAGTCGGAAATTTATGATTTTGGAGGCCTGTGGTCTACCCCCTCTTGACCAGCCATCCGGTACCTTGCCTAGCTGTTCAACCTGCTGATGGCTGGAATCGACAGCGATGGCCAACTGGATATAGCATAGCACAAGGGCTAGGGCCTGAAGAAACGGAAATTGAAGTCTCATTTTGTTAAATACTTGCTAAACAAGCACGGTGAATAAATATCAGGCTGGAGCAATCAGACTATGTAAATATACCCCTTTCTATGCGAGTAAGAAATACATCGACGTTTACAAAGAGATTGGATATCATCTGATAAGTGATCAAAACTATCCGAAGTACTAAACGGATATGTATGACGTTGATACCAGTACAACGTTGCACACCAACATGATAGTCACCGAGATCTGCCAACTACCGAGCCTAAGTCCATCGGCCTGGGGTTATATGTTTCTGTTTGGCTCTCTGGGAGTTAGATCCCGTGGTATGTATAAGGCCGGATACAGGGAGCTTCTTAGCCGGGACGACCTCGTGCGTGGTATCATCTGGGTAGCTTCGAAGTGCTCGTACAACTGAGTAAAACCGTATGTTGCAATATATCAGTCCGGTGCTCCCGCTGTATAACCCCCCCATGCAAAAAAAGGAGTATGCTCGCATCCCTCAAGGCTATCAAATCCATCGGGAGACTAGCAATAGCCTTATGGGTCTATATCGTGCCATCAAACTTAGAATCCAACATTGGCAATAGAAAATAAATACAACAAACTGATCGTTGCCATATTCTCAGTTAGAGGAACTTGTCATTGTATTTAATCTTTCTCCTACCATGATAACATAATCAATGTGGCACAGTACAAACAACCTTGGAAGATGAAGTACGAAGTCAAGTTGATGCCTTGTAGCCTGAACATCCAGTCGGATCATCTGATTTCCGACCTCCGTAAAATGCGGGATGATCGACGTCACAATGAAGCTGCCGTGATTATCGTCAATCTGAGGTCTGAGGCCCATCACTTCAGGAAACAAAAAGGAGGTGGTTTTGGTAATTGGATGTGGGATCGGCTTTGATATATATTCCAACTTTCCACGGATATCCGTATACTTATTTTGGATTTCAAGCCCGAAGTGATTGATATAAATCTTAAAAAGAAAGTGAATGTGGGGGATTGTATCTCAGTGCCAATCACCAGTCACAAATAAGGCTGGAAGCTCTGGAAGCTCTCGGATTGATTTGGCTTCAATTGCGGGGTGGCATGATCCAAGGGAATCGACGTCATTGCTACATTCCCCATCTCACAGAGCCTCGACCTTCCCCAGTCTTTTCATCTCCGCTTTCAATCCTGAATCCTTCCCATACCTGGACACTATGGCCGAATCAGATGTACAACTACGTCGACCGTCGGCGGATAATCAGACAGTCTCGAAAGCTGATATCTCCTTGAAGGAACGCTTCTTCCGCTATTTCCAGCATGAGATCACCGGTATGTTCCCGTTCATATTCACACGCCCCTTCATCATCAAGCAAAATCATCAAAAAAAGACCTTTGTTAATACCATTATTGTTCCAGATTTGCAGCAGGAGATGGGTCGTCTTGCCGACACAGCTCTTGTCGGTGGTGAGCGTGCCGATGCAACAGACCATTGCCTTGCTGGCATCGTGCGGTTATCAAATGAAGTCAAGGATGCAGCGAGCTATATCCCCACCTACGATCAGAGGGTGTACGCAGAGGTAAACGTTAACCCACACTCTATCTCGATAGAGCATAGCTGACATCTCTACAGGCAATCAAAGCTTTGCAGGATCGATTGAGCGAGACACGTGCAGCATTCGAGCCACGATCAAAGTTTAGCTTCAAGAACAAGAAAAACACCTCTGCTGTGTCTTTGCCTGACGCTGCCGTGCTAACAGTTGACGGACGGCTTAGCACCCCTGGGTACCACTCTCCGGGTGCCTCGTCCGTTGACTCGTCCACGAACCACACCCCCAACTATCCTTCCACTCCATTGAACGAGCCGGATAGTCAGCAACAGGAGCGACCAGAACTTGCGCCCACTTCATTCCCAGGTTTCTCGACCGGGGACTTTGCCACAAAGTCCCACACGGACAAGCCCCCTGGTGCGTTTGCGGCCACCGGCATATCCTCTGTGTCGGTCGATGACCATCATAAGCTTCACATTATGCTTCCAGCCTCCGGGTCGACATCCACAGTCCCGGTGTCTATTACCTCTCTGGATCGCTGCATCGTTGATATGTCCATTCCCACTGCCAACGGAAAGCCATATGTCAGTCTGACTGCTAAGGGGGTCAAAGAAAGTTTATTGATCTGCGGTCGAGTCGATGGCCCTGCACACATTACTGGCATTGAGCGTAGCGTGATTGTGGTATCATGCCGTCAGTTCCGCATGCACAACTGCAGCGACGTTGATGTCTATCTCAGCTGCTCTAGCAACCCCATTATTGAGGACTGTTTCAATATACGGTTTGGTCGGATCCCGAAGGCCTATGTCAGTTTCCTCCTCTTGATTATTTCTCCCCTCCCGTTGTATACTGACATTATTCTATCTAGGCCTTGAACTATGACCGTCCCGACCACGAGGACCGTTGGAGCCAGGTCGAAGATTTCAAATGGATCAAGCCAGAGCCTAGTCCAAATTGGAGTCTACTCGACCCCAACAATGCCGTCCCCGAAGAGGTTTGGGCAGAGATTGTTCCCGGCGGGCCGGGATGGTCTCTTGAGGATATTTTGCATGCCATAAAAGTAGTCCAACATTAGGTTTCCTTTCATCGATCGATGTCCTGGTGCTTGAATGGACATGTTCCTCCGGACACGTCCTCAATACCAATTGTCATCATACGCCGCGATTGATAACGCCGCGATTGATAACGCCATTTCTACTTCAAATAATCATAACTTTTCTCTTTTTTTCTTGACGCCATGATCGATTACGATTTTTGCGATCTTTGGATTTGGGGACTCTTGTGTTACTTCAACTGTGTACTTATAGCTACAAGCAGAAATATAAAAAATTGATGGAGGAGCATATACTGATTTGAACATAATCTACAATTCATTCATTGAATCAAACAAGAATATGTAGTCGGCCACTTATGCAGCCTCTGTTCTTGACGATCCAGGAAGGAGATGTGATATATAATCTTACCCATTTGGCTTAAGATTGCAGCTAACACTTACGATGGCTTTATGGATGTCGGTTTATAGCCGACAAGATCAAAATAACTGGCAAGCTACAGAGTAAAATGAAAAGTGTTATCGGTAAAATTACTTTTGAGAGATATTTTAGGTCCCTGTTAGTGATCTGCCAAAATAAAGGGTCTAAGTGTTCCAAGTTGTGAGTACTTTGGGATAATTCTTCGCATGGTAGCCCAAGTCTTCATAAACAGTTTCATCTCCTGAGGTTCCGGTCAATCTCAGCCTAATCAATAGAGAATCAAGATAGTAACATACCTTTTAGAGAATCAACCCGGTGTTGGTCTTCGTCTGACAGTTTCTCCAGTTCCTGACCAGGTTCTTCCTCATGGCGCTGTTTACCACCCATAGCAAATGCAGCCTTGCCAAGGTCATTCTGCGCCTCGCCAATCATGAGGAATTGAGCATTAGGATAGTCCAGGAACTCGGGTTGCAGAGGCACCCATCGAAGATCTTCGAATTTGTCAAGGACCCTAATGAGAGTGTTGTTAATATGGTAACACTACAATCGCTATATAGGAGACTACTTACGATTGAGGGTATTCTGGATCTTTTGGTAATTGACCCACTGGTGGACCGGCGTACTTGGGACTCTTCGACTGAACAATCCAACTCCCGCGTGGTTGCAGCCCGAAGTCCTCTTGAACATCACCTAATTCGGCAGGGACGGTCAGGATATAGGCGAGATGGGATGCCCGCTGTGTGGAGGTGATCGCATAGACACCTTCCGCGTAGGGTCTGGCTTCCTCGATGTGACGTTCACCGCGGGTGGAAGTCTGGTATGTTTTACCGGTGATGAAATTTTCATGGAGAGCTTGCATGGATTGTCCAGCCTTCTCCACAAATCCCATATCTCGTTCTTTGGCCGAGGTAGGATACTTCTTTTTTGGGAGAATCATCAAGCGACATGAGGCGTCTTTGTCGACGGGGCCTTGGCCTTGGTCGAATTCCGCCCCCAGGACGGTTGGACGGAGGACAAAGAAGCTTCGGGCGACATCGCCCATACTCTGAGGGTCCTCTATATTGACGCGTGGGCGGAAGAAGAAGTAGATGAAGCCTTTTTCGAGGATGTTGGAGGATACCACATTTTCTCTCTCCTCAGACTTACGGAGACCTCCCTCGATTCCTTGAGGTTTCTCCTGGGGGGGTTCGACGGGTTGTTCCTGTGGTGGTTGTACTTCGGATGGTTCTTCTGTCTTGACAGGTTCCTCTCTCTTGACAGGTGCTTCCTCTGTCGTCGGCATTGGTCCGTCTTCCGATGTACCTGTCACCCGCTCCGCTTTCTCTTCATCCGGCTTTACGTCCTCCGTTTTCTCCTTTTTGGGCTTTGGAGCTTCTTTAGTTGAGCCTTTCCGCTTTGTGCCTTTGGGAGTCTTGCCAGTCGGCTCGGCGGAAGTTGAAATAGCTTCCTTGGCCTTTTGGGCAGCATTGCGCGTGGATGTTCGTGTAGTCATGATGAATGGCGGATTCCTTAGATGGTGGTAAAGACAAAGATACCTCCAGTGCTGATCCAACGAAGTGGTTCTAGCCTCCAGGGCTTGTCATGAGATATATATGACGTCATGTGATACGGGAAAATCCGCAGGCATATTCAAGTGACTTTGCTGAGAATGACCGATGAGAATGTCATTATAATAGACAATTCAGTCAATATCCATCTCATCGGTCATAAGCGAGTCGTCCATGGTGTCGTTGCCCGGGTCGATCGATGCTGTCTCGGAGCCCGAGCTTTCATTCGCGTTGCCTTCCCGGAAAGCGCCAAATGAGTCTATGTCTTGAGAATGCCACTTTGGAAGTTCGCTAAACCTTCGTCTTTTGGGGCAATGGTCATGCACTTCATACTGGGTCTCGGGTGATGTATGTCTTTGTGCGAAGTGCGGATCCCCGTGCTGTGTAGCGACAGTGTTGCGGGCTGGTTTTCTCTTCTGCCCTCTCTTTCGCAGCAGTAGAATTGCATTGCTATCAAATCCACCGGGTTGATAGTCTATATCGTCCAGGTAGTCTGTCAAGTCGCGCCCCCATCGCTCGAGCCGATCTGGGAGACATAGTAGATCTACCCTTGGCACGCTAGCTTCTAGCTCATCGTCGGGCTCTTCAATATCGTAGGGCTTGATAACGCGAATATCGTCACTGTCCTCTAGCGGATCTATGTCATGGGTAGGCGTTGAGGGCCCTGAGTCGTCCATGCTGTGCTCGCTTTCCTCTGGCTGGTGGTCTGCAGCAGCAGGAGAAGTAAACCCGGCGAAATATCCAAAGGGGCGGTTTGAATTGGCAGGGGTCGTGTCATCATCCATTAAGAGGTCCTCCATTATTTTATATCAAGCCTTGAACCCGAACGATATTGATATTCCGTTCCGATCCAAGGTAGGCAGTCACGTCGCAGAATCTATAATCAGGCTTCTAAGGAAGGAAGGAAGCAGTATGTAATGTAAGAAATGTGTTCTATTAAAAAGATCAAGTACGAGAAAAAGACTAGTGAAGGCGTAGGAGAATGGAACTCACAAGAAAGTCATGGTCGTCATAACATCATGGCCTTCCAGATGTTTCTAACGTGGGGGAAGATGGGGAAGAGGATATATCTCCACTTGTGGAAGTTGAACTTTGGATGCTTAGGACAAAAAAGGACAACCCATGATTAATTTCAATCCATAGAATGAGAATATATCGGATATTTCCTCCTTGACCTTGATATAGTTAGAAACAATCTACAATAACTTGTTGTACAAAGTCAAGATCGAGACCAGCTCCCCCTGACCGCTCACCGCCCGGCAGCATGATTGGCCGATGTCATTCGCTTCCACAATAGAGTCCACGTTTAGTTTACTGCTACACCAAACACTATCACCAAGTGTTTACCTTTCGCTCTTTTCTTTATTTTAGGTGGATACGGTGGTCGCCTCTGCCTTCTATTGCTCTCTAGTGTGCGGAGCTTGCTACTTTACAGTGCGGCTCCGGCCAAATCTTCAAGATGCAGTCCTCCCCAAACATGCTCACCAAGGTACGCCCCCCTCGGGCATCCTAATGCGCCATCAAACAATGGAACTCAATTGAGGATGCTAATGATTCTCTCCCTCGTGCAGTTTGAGTCGAAATCCTCCAGAGCCAAAGGAATCGCATTCCATCCCAAACGGTCAGTCAATCCCGCGGAGGGACACCTAACACCTCAAAGCACCCACTCTGACCTCAAAACAGGCCATGGATTCTCGTCTCCCTTCATTCCTCTACCATCCAACTGTGGGACTACCGCATGGGAACCCTTATCGACCGGTTTGAAGAACATGATGGCCCAGTTCGCGGCGTTGACTTCCACCCAACCCAGCCCCTGTTTGTGTCGGGAGGTGACGACTACAAGATCAAGGTTTGGAACTATCAGACCCGGAGGTGCTTGTTCACATTGAATGGACACCTGGATTATGTGCGAACGGTTTTCTTCCACCCCGAGCTGCCCTGGATTCTGTCTGCGTCCGATGACCAGACCATTAGAATCTGGAACTGGCAAAACCGGTCACTCAGTAAGATGCATTGCAGCTACCTGTATTAACATCGACTAACCCTTTGCCTTTTTTTTAGTCTGTACGATGACCGGTCACAACCACTATGTTATGTGCGCTCAGTTCCACCCCACCGAGGATCTAATTGCCTCGGCCTCGTTGGATCAGTCAGTTCGCATTTGGGACATCTCCGGCCTGCGGAAGAAGCACTCGGCCCCTACCTCGATTTCCTTCGAAGATCAAATGGCAAGAGCCAACCCAAACCAAGCTGATATGTTTGGAAACACCGATGCAGTCGTTAAGTTTGTGCTGGAAGGTCATGACCGCGGAGTTAACTGGGTGTCGTTCCACCCCACACTGCCCTTGCTCGTGTCCGCTGGTGACGACCGGTTGGTTAAGCTCTGGCGGATGAGTGATACCAAGGCATGGGAAGTCGATACTTGCCGCGGCCATTTCCAAAATTCCTCCGCCGCTTTGTTCCACCCACACCAGGACCTCATCCTTTCCGTTGGTGAAGATAAGACGATTCGCGCGTGGGATCTTAACAAGCGTACGTCCGTTCAGTCGTTTAAGCGCGACCTTGATCGATTCTGGGTTATCGCTGCCCACCCCGAGATGAACCTGTTTGCCGCGGGTCATGACACTGGTGTTATGGTCTTTAAGCTCGAGCGGGAGCGCCCTGCGTCTGCTATCTACCAGAATCAGCTGTTTTACATCACAAAGGATAAGCACGTCAAGTCATATGACTTCGGTAAGAACGTTGAGTCGCCGCCGATGCTCTCGCTGCGAAAGCTGGGTTCCCCATGGGTCCCTCCGCGTACCCTCTCTTACAACCCCGCCGAACGTGCTATTCTCGTTACCACGCCCGCCGATAATGGGACTTATGAATTGATTCATCTCCCCAGAGATGCTACTGGAGCTGTTGAGCCCACAGACGTTAAGCGTGGACAGGCCACTTCGGCAGTTTTCGTCGCCCGCAACCGTTTCGCTGTCTTCAACCCCTCGAGCCAGCAGGTCGATATCAAGGATCTCAGCAACTCCACAACGAAGACAATTAAGCCCCCACCGGGCACGACCGATATTTACTTTGGTGGTACCGGATGTCTGCTCTTCATCACCCCTACACATGTTGCTCTGTTCGACATTCAACAAAAGAAGCAGCTCGCAGAGCTTGCTGTCAGCGGAGTGAAGTATGTGGTGTGGTCCAACGATGGGTTGTACTGCGCTTTGCTCAGCAAACACAATGTCACCATTGTGACCAAGACCCTTGAGCAGGTCAGCACCCTACACGAGACTATTCGCATCAAGAGTGCAACCTGGGATGACGCCGGTGTCCTGCTCTACTCCACCCTTAACCATGTGAAGTACTCCCTTCTCAACGGTGACAATGGTATTATTCGCACCCTTGACCAGACCGTATACCTTGTTCGTGTCAAGGGACGCAGCGTCTATGCCCTTGACCGCAATGCCCAACCACGCATCTTGGAAATTGACCCAACAGAGTACCGTTTCAAGCTCGCCCTCGTGAAGCGGAATTACGATGAAATGCTTCAGATTATCAAGACCTCGAGTTTGGTTGGCCAGAGCATCATTTCTTATCTGCAGAAGAAGGGTTACCCGGAGATTGCTCTGCAATTCGTGCAAGATCCCCAGACCCGCTTTGATCTGGCTCTTGAATGTGGTAACCTCGAGGTTGCGAATGAAATGGCACGGGAACTCGATCGCCCCAACGTTTGGAGCAGACTTGGAGCTGAGGCATTGGCCCATGGTAACCACCAGATCGTCGAAATGACTTATCAAAAGCAGCGTAACTTCGACAAGCTCTCTTTCCTCTACCTCTCTACCGGCGACCAGGAGAAGCTTTCTCGCATGGCTAAGATTGCCGAACACCGTGGCGACTTCACCTCCCGTTTCCAAAACGCTATCTACCGTGGAGACGTTGAGGACCGAATCCAGATGTTCAAGGAAGTAGACATGTGTATGTATTAACCCTTGCGGCGATTGTTTCTTCATGCTAATTTCCGTCAGACCCTGTTGCCTATCTTACTGCCACGTCACATGGTCTGATTGAAGAGGCCGAGTCCATTTTGGAGGCTGTTGGTCTCACCGAAGATCAGATCGTCCTTCCCACAATCGAGCAACCTCTGAAGGTTCCTCAACCTATTGTGCCCACTTTCAAGTCCAACTGGCCTGTTAAGGCTGCCGGTCACTCCTCCTTTGAGAAGGCGCTGCTTGGAGAGGTTGGTGCCGCCGACGAAGAGGCTGGTGCCGAAGGATTCGAGATTGAGGAAGAGGAGCAAGAAGCTGCTGTCGCCCGGGAAACCCTTGAGGAAGACGAAGAGGAAGTTTCCGGATGGGATATGGGTGATGATGTCAATGTTGAGGAAGAGGTCGACTTCGTCAATGTGGAAAGCGCCGAAGCTGGTGCGGGCAGTTCTGAGGCCGATTTGTGGGCTCGAAACTCCCCGCTGGCTGCCGACCATGTCGCCGCTGGCTCCTTCGACACTGCGATGCAGCTTTTGAACCGTCAAGTTGGTGCCGTTCAGTTCGCCCCTCTCAAGCCTCGCTTCCTTGAAGTTTACAAGGCCACTAAGACCTATCTCCCGGCGACTGCTGGTCTGCCGCCTTTGGTCAACTATGTGCGCCGGACCGTCGACGAGACTGACTCCCGGAAGATGCTTCCCATCATTCCCCGGGACCTAGAGACAGTTGCTAGCGTTGACCTGCAAGAGGGTTATGCCGCTATGCGGTCCAACAAATTGGAAGAGGGTGTAGCAACCTTCAAGCGCATTCTTCACACTGTTCTCGTTAACACCGTATCATCCGAAGCCGACGTGGAGGAGGCAAAGAAGGTCATTGCCACTGCTCGGGAATACATTCTCGCCATGTCGATCGAGCTCGAGCGCCGTACTCTCGCTACCGACTCCCCTGAGGGTCTCAAGCGCAGCCTTGAGCTGTCCGCCTACTTCACAATTCCCAAGCTCGAGGTCGCCCACCGACAACTGGCATTGATGGCTGCCATGAAGTTGGCCTTTGCCAACAAGAACTACGGCTCAGCCTTGAGCTTTGCCAACCGCATGCTGGCTAATGGAGGCTCCGCTAAGCTTCTGGAACAGGTAAGACTTTTAAAAGATTGAACCTTCAACTTGTGATATACCATTACTAACAACGAGAAACAGGCCAAGAAGATCAAAGCTCAATGCGAACGCAACCCTCAAGATCAGATCGATATTGACTTCGACCCCTTCGCTGAATTCGATATCTGCGCTGCCTCCTACACTCCTATCTACAGCGGCTCTCCCAGCGTATCAGACCCCTTCACTGGTGCCAAATACCACCCCCAGTACAAGGGAAGTGTCGACCGGATATCGGATGTTACGGAGATTGGTGCCCCGGCCAGCGGCCTGCGCCTGTTCGTTCCCAGCCAATTTTAATTGCCGCATGACGAAGCATAACGGTTTTCTGCCTTTTTCTTCTTGAAACGAAGTTACAAATGGGTACATTTTCATCTGCACGAGGAGAAGTTGTGTTTGGCGGCGCTTTTCATTTTTTTTTCGGCTGGGAGAAAGACAAAACTTCCTGCACAGTCCCCTTGTCTAGATGTCTTTTTGTATCCAAGATTATAATTGCTTAGCGATCTAGTTTGTATGCGAACATGTTTTGTCCAAAGCTCTATATTCTAGACATAACCCGAAGATCATGTCTCTAATTCCTCGGTCTAGTGATAAAAGTACAATCCATATTGATTCTAAATATGCATATCTAATCTAATATACAAGGGACATGTTCAAACCGTAGAGTAGAGAGAGGACCACTCCAACAAAACCACCATAATCATATAACTCAATCACACCGACCATCCTTCCACCCAGTCCGCCATCTCTCCTCCCAAAGCCTACAATCAAACTCCTTCTTCCCAAGCTTCCGATTAACCTCATTATGCGCCTCACACATCCACCACCCAAACTCCTTCCGACTCTCCAGTTTCGGCTGATTCCGTCCACTCGGATGCGCCATCCATGCCTGGAAATCATCCGCACACACCCAGCATGGGTACAGCTTCGCGAAGAACTTCAAGAACCCACTCATATTAGCCTGGTGATCCATGTTTGCCTTTTCGGGGTATGTGGCTGCCATCGAGTGCAGTAGTGTCCATGTTGAGCGCCCTAGCTCTTCGACGTCTGGCGGGCAGTTTGAGGGAATTTCACTGGGTGAGGGGGTTGCAGCAGCGGCGAGGGTGGGAGTTGAGGTTGTCATTTTGCTTGTGTTCGACGTGGAGGATGAGGTAGAGCTTGGGTTTGTGCTTTTGAGGTCGGCTTGCTTGGTCAATGCTCGCCATGAGGCGACGGAGGTGCAGGTGCGGCAGCTGTGAGGTCGGCAGGTTAGCTTGTTCTGTAGTTTAAGCTTACGGGGTAGACCGGGTGAGCTGGGTTGGTCTACTTCGTAGATACTTACGGCTTTCCGTCTTTGTCCAGGACTACACCCTTGGGCAATGGGGCTTTCGAGTCATCGTCTCCGGCGGGCTTGGAGGAGCTTGCGGAGGTCGCGGGGTTTTGCTGATTGAACATAGACGCTGTGCCTTTATATTGGCTATTGACTTGCTCCGGTGGCATGGAGGACATCTTTGCACTTGTGGAAGGTCTAATCCCTCAAGAAATTGGTGATTTGAAGTTGTGAAAGTAATTCGGGGATGATTTCTAATAGATTGCGGAGAAATAGCGGGTCGAGAACGACGGAATGTGACGGATATTTGGCGCAATAGTCAGTAAAGAGATATTCCAAAAAGAAGCGACGAAGACTCTTAGAATCAATGAGCTTTGAATATGTCTAAAATCCAGAAGCTGAGCTTTCAGAGCAAGAGTCGCAAATGACATACAAGTTCAACATACAGATGAAATGCAGATCGATCTCGATGCCGCTTTGTCAGCCATTCCCGCCGCGCCTTCAACGCAGACGCGCTCAGGTTCGCGGTTTGATTGAAATACATAAACCTCTTTCTTCCATTACTTTGATCTTTGGTCCTTACTTATCCACGTATCATCTGAGAAGCTGGACAATTCATTTAAACCCACTCCTACTACACCTTTAACCTCTTTCCAATCGCCACAGCGCGATATAAACATGGCACCGAAGTATACAATGTCCGACTCTGAGTCTGAAGCTGAGGGTGAGGTGCCCAGCGCTCCCTCTGACCAGGCTCTTGAGAAAGCCCTTCGCGACCAAGTGGCTGCAATCTTCAAGTCGGGCAATATGGATGAATTGACCGTCAAGCGCGTGCGACTTGCCACAGAGGATACACTAGGTCTCACAGCGGGGTACTTTAAGTCTACAGGTGACTGGAAAGCGCGGAGTGAGGATATAATCAAGGAGGAGGTGGTGAGTCTTTGTTCGAATTTACAGCGCCCCTTCAGCAGCTTGATAGTGGCTTCAGATCAGCTTCAGAGGAAAACACACTGAACGCAATGCCTTTACAGGAAACACAAGATCAGGTGATACAAAATCCACAATCCCAAGCCAACTACAAGTCCCCCCTCTCCTCCCCCGAAGCCAAAGCCCACTGCCCTTGCAAAGCGAGCAAAACCCGAGACCGCGCCGAAGCCTAGGAAGCGCCAGAAGACTAGGACCCCGGTATCCGATGAGGAGGATGAGCTATCAGTCCCGGCATCCGACGAGAGTGACGAGGTCACAAAGCCTAAGAGTCGATCGAAGGCACCAATAAAGAAGTCCCCGGTGAAGAAGGCCTCCGCACGGAAACCCGAGAAAGATATATCAGACGCTTCTGATTTGTCCGGTGATGAGAGCGACAACGACGATGTCTCAAAGCCCAAGAAACGATCGAAAGCGCCAGTGAAGAAGTCGCCAGTGAAGAAGCCCTCCGTGTCAAAACCCACAAATGATGCATCAGACGCTTTCGATACTCCCGATGATACTTCGGATGTCGCCAAAAAGACCAGAGATACCAAGGACGATTCCGAAAGCGAGATGTCGGTGGTGCTTGACGAAGAACCTCAGCCCAAGGCCCCACGCAAGCGACAGAAAAGTGCCGCGGGAACTGCGACCAAGACGAAGAGAGCCCCCAAAGCCAAGGATGAGGATACCAGCCCGGACCAGGCTGAAATCAAACGACTGCAAGGATGGCTTATCAAATGCGGCATCCGTAAGCTGTGGGGTAAAGAGCTGGCGCCGTATGACACCCCCAAAGCCAAAATCAAGCATCTCAAGGGGATGCTGGAGGATGCTGGAATGACTGGTCGGCCATCTCAAGAGAAGGCGAACCAGATCCGCGAAGAACGGGAGTTGAAGGCGGATCTAGAGCAGATCCAGCAAGGCGCAAAACAATGGGGTGCCAAGAGTGACGAGGATAATGATGAGGTTGCGAAGCCTCGGCGTAGGTTGTCTCGGGGGCGACAGTCACTTGCATTCTTAGAGAGTGAAGGCGAAGAGACCGATTGATGGATAGTACAGCGTTTGTAGTTAATGAGTTTGTCGGACCGGCTGGGCTGTCAGGAAATCGGATTATGCGTTCAAGCCACTTTGTATTTCATACTTCATACTTCATAATATCCCCAATATATATGGCAATATAGGGGTCTCCATCATCGCCCAGCTTTCGGTCCACTCATGCGCTGAGCAGTCAAGCTGAAGATGGCAACAGAAGAAATGAAGAGGACGAGGTTGTAGAACTGCACTTGTTAGCATCATTAAATCGACTCGAAGTTGATCCAATGACCTACGGCCTTTCGCGAGTACTCGTTCTCCTCCGCTTCCGTTCTAGCCTCGACAAAGAGGCGTCGCAAGTTAGGGAGGTTAGCCTGCAGATGTGTTAGTCTTGGCAATTTGGCAGTTTGACAGACATAGAAAAAAAGTGCACCATTAAGACAGCGATAGTCTGGATTAGAAGATAAAATAAAGGAGAGAGAGAGAGTTGATAACCGTAGAGCGGGAGAGGTCCAGAAGCCACCATTTGTGGACAACTTTTGATCGTCCGAAACACCCTTTCTCTCCTTCTCTCCCCCATTCTTCCTCGAAATCTCTCCACCCCCGGATTGTTCACGTATCTCTTTGTGTCTGACAAAGTGACGAACAATATCGACAGATTCCATTCCCCGACCTCGCGCGACCGTGAACCTCCCAATCCCCCGCAGTCGCCCAACGCTACTCGATTCCCACCCATCCCCGATATCTCTAGGCGGAGGCACGACCTAGTCGTTGCTGAAGCTTATACATCCTCGCTATGGCGATGAACAAGATCCGCGGCGCCTTTACGGTGCCTCGGAAAGGAGAGACATTTGAATTGCGAGCTGGACTTGTGTATGCGGCCCCCTCCACCATGCGCTGGCTACCTCGTTTCAGTGAATGACGAATGATATTAACTATTTATTATAGTTCCCAGTATGCTTATGAACGGTATGTACAGCAGTGACGCCTCCAGTCCGGCCTGGTAGTGTATGGCGAGGATGCAGTATGGCTGACAACGTAACAGGAAGGAATCCATTCAAAAGACAATCATGGCCATGACCCTAGGAAAAGATGTTTCGGCCCTGTTCCCAGATGTTCTCAAGAACATTGCTACATCCGATCTTGAGCAGAAGAAATTGGTTTACCTCTATCTCATGTGGGTACCATAGTACAACTGAAGGTGGCTACGTATGCTAATCGGTCGATTCTCACTTTCAGGAACTACGCCAAATCGCACCCTGACTTATGTATTCTTGCCGTGAACACGTTCGTACAAGACTCGGAAGATCCGAACCCACTGATTCGTGCGCTGGCAATCCGAACAATGGGTTGTATTCGGGTGGAGAAGATGGTGGACTACATGGAAGAACCGCTGCGCAAGACCCTCCGAGACGAGTCGCCGTATGTCCGCAAGACTGCTGCGATCTGTGTTGCCAAGCTTTTCGATCTGAACCCGGCAATGGCCATCGAGAACGGATTCTTGGAGACGCTCCAGGAGATGATTGGAGACCCCAACCCCATGGTGGTCGCCAATTCGGTGACCGCACTTCAGGAGATTCATCACACGGCACCCGAGACACAGGCTCTGCAGATTAATGCTAACACTCTACGGAAGATGCTGATGGCTTTGAACGAGTGTACGGAATGGGGGCGCGTCACTATTCTTTCAACTTTGGCTGAGTACAAGACCTCCGACGTGAAAGAGTCGGAGCACATTTGCGAACGAGTCGCCCCTCAGTTTCAGCACGTTAATTCCGGTGTGGTTCTTGCCGCAGTCAAGGCTGTGTTCTTACATATGAAGAATGTTAACCCTGACTTGTCGAAGAACTACCTAAAGAAGATGGCTCCTCCCTTGGGTATGCTCCCTCGCCGCTTTTACTATACTTCGTTTGTGTTTGCTAATTCGATATAGTTACATTGGTTTCGTCGGCCCCAGAAGTGCAATATGTTGCATTAAGAAATATCGACCTTATCCTGCAGAAGGAGCCTGACATTCTCAACAAAGAACTCCGTGTTTTCTTCTGCAAATACAATGACCCGCAATATGTCAAGTTCCAGAAACTTGAGATTATGGTGCGTATAGCGAACGACCGCAATGTGGACCAACTCCTCGCTGAGTTGAAGGAATATGCCCTCGAAGTCGATATGGACTTTGTCCGCCGAGCTGTCCGGGCAATCGGCCAGGTTGCCATCAAGATTGAGAGCGCCAGCGAGCGGTGCGTTAACACATTGTTGGATCTCATCAACACCAAGGTGAACTACGTCGTTCAGGAAGCGATCGTTGTCATCAAGGATATCTTCCGGAAATACCCTGGCTACGAAGGGATCATCCCGACTCTATGCCAGTGCATTGACGAGTTGGATGAGCCCAATGCCAGAGCAGCACTCATCTGGATTGTTGGAGAGTATGCCGAGAAGATTAGCAACGCGGGTGATATCTTGGGTGGCTTTGTCGATGGTTTTAACGAAGAATTCTCTTCGGTTTGTTCTACCCTCCTGATACATGCTACCATATCAGCTAACCTCTATTTCTAGACCCAATTGCAAATCCTCACAGCTGTGGTGAAACTATTCCTGAAGCGGCCCGAGAAGGCACAGGGCCTAGTGCAGCGGGTACTTCAGGCTGCGACATCCGAGAACGACAACCCAGATGTCCGTGACCGAGCATATATCTACTGGCGTCTTCTGTCCAATACCAGCGATTCCAATGCGACAAAGAACATTGTGCTCTCGGATAAGCCCCCTATCGTCACCACCATCCACTCACTGCCACCGGCGCTCCTCGACCAACTCCTTTCCGAACTGTCTACTCTCTCCTCCGTCTACCACAAGCCCCCCGAGCAGTTTGTCGGCCACGGCCGATTCGGCGCCGACGCCGTCATGCGCGCTGCTATCGAGTACGTATTCAATTCCCTTCGTTCGTTGACCATGGTCCTAACCACTCCATAGGGAACAAATCCAAAACGCGCGCGAGAACCCATTGGCCGCGGCTGCTGCCGCTGCCGCTGGCGGTACCACAGCCCCTGCGCAGGCGCAAAGCAACGTCGAGAACCTGCTGGACATCGATTTCGACGGTGGTGCTCCTGCCTCCTCACAAACCGAACCTTCCAGCGGCATGTCAGGTCTGGAGGGTCTGGCTGGCACTCCCGTACGGGTAGCATCCCCTTCAGCTGGTGCCCCGACAGCGCAAGCAAGCAACAACCTAGATGATCTCCTGGGCGTGTTCGGAGATTCCGGTGCCGCCCAGCCCTCGTCGAGCGGTGCCAACAGCGGTGATCTCATGAACGGATTCTCTGGTCTTGATATCTCCGGCAATGCGGGCCCTTCTCAAAATAACCAGACCAAGAAATCCAACGACGACATTTTGTCACTCTTTTAGAGGAATGACATTGATGGTATAGCCAAGTGTGTCTAGCCGACCCTGTCGGCTGATGTTATATCCAGGTGTTTTCGCAAGCGAGAATCTGAACTGAACGAGATAGATTGGTGTTTTCTTTTACTTGTTTAATGTTTCTTGCATCTCTACCTAAACGGACTTCAAAAGGCCTGTATATTTCTGCCTCGAATATCAATTTCTTTTATTATGATGATTTGAACATAGATTAGACTTATCTTGGCTATGCAGAAGTGTATGTAGGGTTTGGTATGCATCAGACGAGAACCATCTATAACCTATCACTTAGCCCTATGTCGTAGGGTTCCCGAGGCTGAAAGGCTCAAATGCCGATGCAACTAGAACTCCCGATTTTTCTCGGCCGATCCCACAGCTCCACAGGAAAAAGAAAGAACAAAAAACCCTTGAAATGACGAATCCCTATTATGTGCTTCGTACATCGCTGAATTAAATAATTCTCATAGCGGAACATCCATTTTCTAAACTGTAGGCTTAGTATGTATCTACGTAGGTAGATGCTAGGTTATCATGCAAACTCCTTCTCCAACTACAACATAGATACACACCACAAACTCTATAGGCCCTCCCAAGTCCAAATCTCCACGGACCCATCAAAAATGCCGATTACCAATTATTCATCAAACCGAAGTTTCCAGTGTGAAAAACTGAGTGGGACTCGGGATCTGTGCCGCTTCCAAGATTCGGATATAAACGGGGCAGACCCCCAGGAAACGAAGTGTCAGTGAACATTTCCCTTAATTCACAGGATGGCGCAAACAGACTACAAATTTGAAGGCTGGATGGGTCTCGACCCCAGTGCCGGCGAGGGCAAGATGGTCTGGCAAGAATTCGAACCGAAAGAGTGGGAGGAAACCGACGTTGATATCAAAGTCTCCCACTGTGGCATCTGTGGTTCTGATTTACACACTCTCCGGAGTGGCTGGGTATGTTTTCCGTTTTCTGTATCAGCGAGATCTTATAGGGAAACTCGTTGTATAACATATCCGTGTAGAATAGAAATAAAACTAACATTCGCCACAGAAACCCACCGCCTACCCCTGCTGCGTAGGCCACGAGATTGTCGGCACAGCCGTGCGCGTGGGTAGCAAGGTCTCCGACATCCAGCTGGGCGACCGTGTCGGAGTCGGTGCTCAGAGCGAGTCCTGTCTTGGCCGCCAAGGTGATTGCGAGGAGTGCGCTTCAGGCCAGGAGAACTACTGCAGCAAGAAGGTCGTCGGCACGTACAACAGTATCCACTACGACGGTAGCAAGTCGTACGGTGGGTATGCGCGGTACCACCGTGTGCCCGGCCACTTTGCCATCAAGATCCCCGACGCTATCTCGTCGGCTGATGCCGCGCCTATGCTGTGCGGTGGTGCTACCCTCTTCTCTCCGCTTAAGCACAATAACTGTGGCCCTGGCAAGCGTGTGGGTATTATTGGTGTTGGTGGACTGGGTCACTTTGGCTTGTTGTTCGCTAAGGCTATGGGCGCTGATATGGTTGTTGCTATCTCGCGGAAGTTGGGAAAGAAGGAGGATTCGCTGAAGATGGGGGCGGATCTTTACGTTGCGACTGATGATGAGCCGGACTGGGCTACGGTTAATGCCCGGTCTTTGGATTTGATTGTTTCGACAGTCTCGTCTACTAAGATGCCCTTTAACGATTACCTGGGTCTGCTGAAGACTGGTGGGTCTTTTGTGCAGGTTGGTCTTCCTGAAGATGGTGGATTATTCGCTCCTGTTCGAAGCTTGATGCGTCAGCTGAAGCTGCAGAGCTCCCTCGTTGGTAGCCCGAGTGAGATCCGAGAGATGTTCCAGCTTGTTGCTGAAAAGGGAATCCGCCCTTGGGTAGAGGAGATCCCTATGAAGGATGCGAATAAGGCGATTGTGGATATGGAGGATGGAAAGGCCCGTTACAGATACGTGCTGGTTAATGAGTAAATGCCTGTAACTAGACAAGAAGATGATTCCAATATAGAGATGTAGAGATGTGCCCATGAATGAAGTCCAAAAATATGCATATATACGTGACAGCCAATCAAATCACGCACGTGAAGGCCGTTCTCGGAGACGCTAGTCCCTTTTGGGACACTCAGATTTCCCCCGCGGTGGGATGAATCATTCCGCTTCTTCTTCGCTACTTCGGCTTCAAGGAATTTCTGTTGAGTCAATTGACCTTCTCACTATGTCGCCTAATCTCTCGCAACAATACCTAAGTACTCGCGGTGCTGAGTACGGGGTGAGTCGAAAAAACAACCATTATAAATTTCATCGCAAACATGTTACTCACCCATCTGTTTCACTAGAGAACCTTTGAAGATGTTGTTCTTCAAGGCCTGGCCTCGGATGGAGGCCTCTTCATCCCAGAGGAGATGCCTACCCTCCCTAAATCGTGGGAGACCGAATGGCGCGATCTGAGTTTTGAGGATTTGGCGCTCGAAATCATGTCGCTCTATATCTCTACCGATGAGATTCCTCGAGAAGATCTTAAGAACATTATCCACAAGTCCTACTCGACTTTCCGCCACCCCGAGCGCACTCCCTCCGTCCTCCTTGAAAAGAACCTCTACCTCCTGGAGCTATTCCACGGCGCGACCTTTGCGTTCAAGGATGTTGCGCTCAGCTTCCTCGGAAACCTGTTCGAGTACTTCCTTGTCCGCAAGAATGCTGGAAAGACTGGCAAGGACCGCCACCACCTCACTGTTGTTGGTGCCACTAGCGGTGATACTGGTTCCGCTGCTATCTACGGACTTCGCGGCAAGAAGGACGTCTCGGTATTCATCCTCTTCCCTGATGGAGGCCGCGTCTCGCCCATCCAAGAAAAGCAAATGACAACTATCTTGGACCCTAATGTTCACAACCTCACTGTGGCCGGCTCGTTTGACCACTGCCAGGATATCGTCAAAGCGCTCTTCGCCGATGAGGACCTTAACTCCACCCACAACATCGCCGCGGTCAACAGCATTAATATGGCCAGAATCTTGGCCCAGATCACCTACTACTTCTACTCCTACTTCTCCTTCGTCAAGTCCCCCTCGTACACCAAAGATTCCAAGCTGCGCGTGGTCGTCCCGTCCGGCAACTTCGGCGATATCCTCGCCGGTTGGTTCGCCAAGCAGATGGGTCTCCCCATCGAGAAACTCGTGATTGCCACCAACGCAAACGACATTCTCGACCGCTTCTTCCGCAACGATGGCCACTACACTAAGAAGGCCCTCGACGCCCCCACCGACCACGGCGTGAAGGAAACCCACAGCCCAGCCATGGACATCCTCGTCAGCAGCAACTTCGAGCGTCTCCTCTGGTTCCTTTCCCACAAAACCGCTAACGGCACCGACGCCGAGCGCCGCAAGCACGCCTGCGAGAGCGTCAGCGGGTGGCTCAACGAGCTTAAGACTAACGGCGGCTTCCAAGTCCCCGGCGCCGTCCTCGAGGCCGCCAAGGTCGATTTCGAGAGTGAGCGCGTTAGCAACGAGGAGACTATCGATATGATCCGTGATATCTATAAGACCTCCTTCCCTAAGGGACTTGGTCCCGGCTCTGCCAAGAGCTCCAAGACCGGTGGTTACATCCTTGACCCCCCACACTGCTGTTGGTGTTGCTGCCACTCGCCGCTCTTTGGCTCGTAACCCCGAGGATACTCATATCTCGCTATCCACTGCCCACCCGGCTAAGTTTGCTAGCGCTGTCGACCTTGCTCTGCGTGCTGAGGATGGTTATGACTTCACTGAGATCCTGCCCCAGGAGTTCGTTGGCCTTGAGCAGCGCGAGAGTCGGGTTACCCCCGTCGGCGAGAGTGCTGGATGGCAGGGTGTTAAGGAGATTGTCAAGGCGGAGCTTGAGCAGGAGTTGCAAGGTTTGCGCTAGATCTGGGACCTGGCAAGAGGAATAAAATGCATTGAATACACTGAGCTGGTGAAATTCATCAGGGAAGGTGGAGCTTGTGCAGGTTGAGAAAATATAGACATTTTGAACACTTTTTTCTTCTATCTTAAATATATGTCTGTTTTGTTTATTTATATGTATATCCATCTCCACTGCAGCAATCGTGCTAACATGTGTATATCAAAATTCTCCACGGTTTTAATGCAATATTCCCACTACTTCATTCTGAAGTTGTCTTCAACATGTTCGAAATATTCGTATTGCTAGTATGTGATACACATGTTCCCTCAAGGAACACACCATTACCGCTAACGAAGAAAGACTACGCATTCTCGTTGTGAGCGACAACAATTGCCCCGTCCCTCTTCTCATCACGGTAAATCTGCTCCTGTTCGCGGTCATACTCCTCAGCGAATTTCCTTCCGTAGAGACCGATCCTGTACCAGGGAAGGTCGAACATCTTATCAATAGTCTCGAGACTACGACCAGCAGCCTCGGGCACAAAGAGCCAAACCCAGAACCCGCCAAGAACGGAAATAACACCAAAGAAGTAAAAGGTTCCGTGAGGGCCAAGACCTCCATGTTGGAGCAGCATCTCAGGCAAGGCACGGTTGACAGCGTACTGGCAGACAAAGTGCATGGCCATTGTGATAGACGAGCAGATACCACGGATACGAAGAGGGAACAGCTCCGAGGAAAGCAGATACTGACCACTGTTCCAACCCAACGCCCAACCGACACCGGAGATGTAGATGAAGGCAATAGCGGCGGTGGATGCACGGTTCTGCGTCTCGCTAGGGACGAAGTCTGGGTTTTCGGCGATAGGAACGAGATTCAGGAAGATAGCAATGTAGAACATGGCAATGGATTGGAGGACAATTCCAATAATGAGAGAGCGCTTACGACCAGCCATATCGACTAGGAAGAGAGCGCAGATGATGGCGGCGACGAATTTGACGACACCGAAGACGACGGTCGAGAATAGGGACTGTTCTTGGCCGGTGATACCGACGAGAGTGAATAAATCTGGCGCGTACACGGTAATCGCAGAGCCGCCGGACCAGCAGGCCATGTTCTGAGCGAGGTTGGTGAGGAATAGACGGTATGCGTTGCGTTTGATGCCGAGGATCTCCTTGAACAGGCCCTTCCAACCCATCCCGAGCGTGGCTTCCATCTCCTCCTGGAAGGCTACGTCCATTTCGGTGATCTCGTTCAGAACGTACGGGTGCTCGGCGGGTAGGCCGCGGAGCTTGCAGAGGACCTCAAGGGCCTTCTCGCGCTTGCCTTGCTTGATATAGAAACGGGGGGACTCCAGCTGGAAGAAGGTGAGGATCAGGATGATGCCGGCGAACATTAGATGAAGTGAAGTGGGGACAGCCTGTAGGGAAAACGTGTTAGCTTAATATGTACAACAACGAGTTTATTTATAGTGGTAGTAGAACTTACCCAACGGTTGAAGGTGTCCGCCATGTGCATTTGAGTACCCCAATTGGCGAAATAGGCAATCATAATACCACTGCGCTTAGTTTTAGCATCGGAGAGCAAGACAACAGGAAAGAAGAAGAGGAGGAGTATGAACTTACAGGTACACGGCACCAGTAAACATACAAGTACAGAGACCACGGATAGGAGCCGGGGAGATTTCAGAAAGGTATATAGGACCGACAACACAAGTCTGTCCAATACCAAGACCAGCAATGAAGCGACCAGCGTAGACGGCATCCATGTTGCCATTGTTTCCAATAAAGATGGCGATACCGAGAATCCAGAGACAGCAGAGTTGGCGAGTAGCCCAGACACGGCCGATACGATCACAGACAAGGAAAGCACTGTTATTCAATCATGATTAGTGAAAGCCCTTGGGACCTAAAGACGCGGATGATGCGTTTTAGTAGAAAGACTTACAACAGAGCACCGGCGACACTGCCGAGCTGAACCATGGAGGAAATTGTACCCTTGATACTGGCGAGCTCACCCTTCTCCAGGTCGTCAATGCCGACAGACTGCTTGAATGCGTGAGAGTTGAAAACTCCCGTGATGAGACCCTCGTCGACACCACGGGCGGCACCCATGAGACCAAATGCAAATACGGCGAACCATAGCTTTGCGTTGAGGGTCTCCTTGGGCAAACCGCCCGTGTTGAACTTGAAAACGTTGATAGCAGCACCACCCGCCATGACGGATGATGTTCGTTATTCTTTTTAGACGGTTGTGAAGAATGAATATACAGATCAATCGTGGATTGAGGTCATGGGCCTGTACAAGAGACGATGTAGCGGCTCCTGGAGAGAACAAAGCTCAGATGAAGACAATAGGTTCAACAGAGGTCTTCGAGGCTGGCAATCGCAGAAGAGAAGGCTGTGAGGGGGAAGCTGCATTCGATGGGAAAAAAGGTGCATGGAGGGGCATGGACAATCTCTTAAATCCCAAGCTTGCGCCATGGGGGCTCATAAAGTGGCCCAAGGCTTGCTTGCGCCGGGTCTTGGTCTTGAACATTCAACCAATCCACGTTGTTCCCTTGTTCCTAAATTCCCCGATACTTGAGTAAGAACTTTAGCTCTATGAGCTTTCTACAAGTTGGGGACGAACCATTCTTTTGATATCATTCATTCTCAGCGTAACCTACCGTTCAATCTGAATTAGCACACCATAGAGCCCATAAATATAGTGACGGTAAACTGTGCATCTTAATTTTAAGTGACTAAGTGATATACCATGCAAGAACCACATAGATGATGGTCTTGCGGCTTCGTTCGACCCCAACAATGAAAACAATGCCGATAAACGGACCGAATTCTTTTAGAGTTCTGCGAGTCATTACTTGCATGGTTACCAATGGACAACGACGCCGGGAATTGCAGATATATGCCTCACCAAGACACAAAGGATCCCGAACTTCTTGGCATGGTCCTCGCCATCTTCTCCGCGGCACCATCACCAGAGCCACGAGGGAGGGATAGCCCTAGGTTTGGGTGATCGGCGATGTATCAAAGCGTACCCCAGCCTTGACCCCACGCCAAGCACAGGTAGTGTTGGTTGGGCCAATCAACGGCTCCCCGATGTCACATCAATGGCGCTCTTCGGTTTCCGCTCAGGCACTACGCTAATATCCCTGTAGGCCATGCCGACGTAGGTATATGTCCCATACCTTAATATTAGACCTCCTCACTGCCCGCCCTCGGGAGATTTCCGAAACCTACACAGTTCTACCACCGCGAGAAAAACTAACAGTCCTTGGCACTTGGAGTACATCGTGTGGAAAGTCGACATCTGATGAAGTCTCTGTGGAACAGAAAATGTTGACCTGTAACTTGCATTGCCCTAACTTGGAGGGCTGCAGGTCTCATTTCAAATCAATTTTGGAAAATGTGTGCCGCTGTGTGGGATGGGATCGTGTCCCGTTGACCAAGACCCCAGAAAAACCGGCGATGCCGTCAAATGAAAAAGAAGGTAAGCGTGTGGACTCGGGACCCAAGCTCTCTTGGCGTTGTTTCTCGGGCCTTGGCTTGTCTTGGTGTATCACCGATGGCCCGCCAACGGAGGCATGGGGTCTATGAGACTCGGTCCCGAGAAAAGAGAGAGAGAGAGAGAGAGAGATGCTGGCCCCCAGATTGGCTTTGATATTTCCAACTCTGGCTCCCCCCACATATTTCCCCGCATCTTGCTGGGCGCTAAACCCGAAATAGGCCCAACTGGTGTGTCATGTGATTGTTATGGGGAAGCAAGGAAACCCATTGAGGAAAACGGGCAGACAAAACAATCCAGTATTTTGTGGAACAAGCGAACTATATAACACGAGTGAGTATTCACGCATTGCTTGACAATATGCAATTTAGGAGAGACTGAAAGAACACTTCCCAAGGAGCCACTTGCGTAGTCAGGGCATATGATCCAGACCCCAAGAGTTCAAAGTTTAGATCAGAAGCGACAAGGACTCGGCCAGTTTGCGACTGAAAGAGTAAGGGGTGGGTTAAGCGGGTTGTCCGATTGGGCAAAGTTACAGGAGCGTGGAGCAGAGGATGTTCACCGGCAGGTGATGAGGGAGATTACGTGATGGATTAGGGCAAACCAAAGAAGGCAAAACTAACCCAAAAAGGAAATTCATTGGTCCTCTACAATATAAAAGTGACTTTTCAAACTACATATATGTAGGTATTTCTGTATTGTATCCTCGTCCTCTTAACTGATCTCTAGATTTTTACTTATGTTTACCCCGGAGAGCTTCAAACTCATCGGCTAAACATCCTCGCGCCAAGGCATATAGTCTCTGATAGTGCAAAGTCCCGTCGGATCACGATCGACAACAAAAAGGCCCGGATTCTTTCCACAATATAGGTCATTGTGTGGGACAATTGATGAATCTCATTATGAACACGTGTACTGTGTTCTGTGGCCTATAATTCTATAACTTCTCCACTAATCCTGCTCGAGAATTTAACGATCGTTCTGGCTGCTTCAGTATATTGAAAGTCATCTGAGTCACGCATGCTGATGTTTATCGGTATGTTTAACCTCTTAAGATACTGCATGTATAAAATCGGTAAAATAGCCGATATGGAGGCTAGATATATGGCTAGAACATTCTCATTCGAAAATACTCCGCCCGATCACGATCATTTTCTCATTTTTCCAGCTAATATCCTATACTAGTCAAGTAATTTGCCAACTGTCCAACAATGCTTGCAGCCTCTCTCGGTTGCACTGTCTCGGGATAATGTGCGATAACTATTGACTGCGATGATTTCACCACACAAACACCCTCTTTGCCCTAATATTATCACAATTAACAAGCCATCAGTTATTGTGGCAATGCAAATGTCTTACCTTCTCGGCATATATGTTTTGGTCATCTGCTTTGGTAACCATAAGCTTTTCCCCTGCGACATAGAGCCCACCAGAGTATAGAGGGATTGAATCCTCAAAGCCTCTTAACATATACTGAACCTCCCCTAGTTGAACCTATTGGAACATGTTTTAACGGCAATTTCAAAGAGCGTTAGTCGGACACCTTACATTGAATCCTGTAGTTGTTGCAAGTAGAGCATCGCCTGCTACTGAGAATATAGCGGCTTTGTCAATCTTTTTGGATCCCACCAGGGTTTGATCGACCCAGCCTACCGTAAGATTAGTTTTAGGGTGTTTAATTGTTCAAATATGCATACCTTGCCAGCTCATCTTGAAAAATAGAGTATAAATAGACCGGGGAATCTAAGTCGGGGAAAACAGAGAGGTGGGATTTAGTGGCTTGAGGGGTAATCCACCTTTTAATCGAAAGTTGAGTTGAGCCAATGGCAAACTGCACCCGTTTGATCTCCACTGTATGTTCTTATGTGACGATCCCAAGACTTAGGGCTAATGTGATTTCATGAGGAATTTCTTCTAAAACAAGATGAATTGACTTTTGATTCAATGTAAATACTTTTCTAAGACAGATAAATCTTAAAAACATACAAAAGAATCCAAGCAATAGAAACTATATATTACTATTAGTAGATTTAAAAAGCAGATCTGAGGAACAAAAATCTCGAAATGACCAAGCAACCGTTCTTCTTTAATCCTTCGACCGTGTTAATAAAAGCAGAAGAAGAAATTCCAAGCGGGACATAGGCCGGGCATTCACAAAACTACTCAAGGTACCATGAGGTCTCTCTGATCCGCACCACGAGGACCAGAGAGGTCAGGAACCGAGAGGGATCCGGATCTCAATAATCAAGAGATGGATCGGTAATCAAGGCTACTCAACTGATTTACAGGAGAGCCATGAGACCAACAACACCGGCAAGGAGACCAGCAACGGGCTTGACGTTGGAGGCGGCACCGGTGAAGTCATCGGAGGAGGGGGTGGCACCGTGCTGCTCAGGGGTAGAGGGCGTCTCAGGGGTCTCCGGGGTGGAGGGGGTACCGGAGGGGTGGGCAGCGGGCTTGGTCTCCTTAGGGGCAGCGGGCTTGGTCTCGGCAGGCTTGGAAGGAGCAGGCCGGGAGACAGCAGGCTCGGACTGAGCGGGGACAGCGGGCTGAGACTTGGCGGGGACAGCGGGCTGAGACTGAGCGGGGACAGCGGGCTGAGACTGAGCGGGGACAGCGGGCTGAGACTGAGCGGGGACAGCGGGCTGAGACTGAGCGGGGACACCAGGCTGAGACTGAGCGGGGACAGCGGGCTGAGACTGAGCGGGGACACCAGGCTGAGACTGAGCGGGGACACCAGGCTGAGACTGAGCGGGGACAGCAGGGTGGGAGACGGCGGGCTGAGAGTGAGCAGGGACAGCGGGCTTGGTCTCAACGGGCTTGGTCTCAACGGGCTTGGGCTCAACGGGCTTAGTCTGAGCGGGCTTAGTCTGAATGGGCTTGCTCTGAACGGGCTTGGGAGGAACCACGACATCTCCAGTGGGCTTCAGAACGGGGGCGGTAGGGCCTGCAGTAGGGCCTGCAGTAGGGCCTCCGGTGGCGGGCTGAGTGGCGTTGTGGAAGGTCAAAGGCTTCTCGTCGCACAGGGTGCAGACGGTAGTCTTGGAGATGGTGATGGTGCTTGTTTCGGTGACGGGAACGGTCCAGGTCTTAGAGCCAGAGGTGACCGTAGACGAGGTGACTAGAAGTATTGTTAGAATGTGCTTTAAGTGGTATGTATTACTTGTGAGATTTTAGGGCTTACCAGGGCAGGATGTGGTCACGTAAGTGAGGGTCTTGGTGGTACCAGGCTTCACGGGGACGTGGGGGGTGGTGGTAGGGTGCACCGGGGTGGTGCAGGGGACGGTGGTTCCGTTCACCACAGTGAAGCTGGACACCGGCACCGAGGTGGTGGTAGGGTGCACAGGGGTGGTGCAGGGGACGGTGGTTCCGTTCACCACAGTGAAGCTGGACTCAGGCACCGAGGTGGTGGTAGGGTGCACAGGGGTGGTGCAGGGGACGGTGGTTCCGTTCACCACAGTGAAGCTGGACTCAGGCACCGGGGTGGTGGTGTGACTGTGTACCGGGGGAGTGGTGGTGTGCTCATGCACCGGGGTGGTGGTGGTCGAGGTGGTGCACGGGGTGGTCCACGACTCAGTGGTCTTGCTCCAGGAGTCGTGAGTCGAGACGTGCCCGGCCGGCTTGGACCAGCTCTCACCCCAGCCCTCAGCATGGGCAGGGGCAGCAGCAGCACCAGAGGCCTGAGGGGAAGGACGGATGAATTCCTCGCCACGAGCCTGCATGAGACCGGCAAAGGCCGGGCTGGCAAGAGCCAGAAGAGCAACAGAGTTGATCATTTCGAGAAATCAAAGTCTTAACAAACAAACTTGGAAAGATAACGAATGAAGATATGATGATAGAAAGTCTGAATGATGGGCAGAGATGAACGATCTTATATGCCCTGTTTGAGATGACTGGTTCCAAGTCATGACGGACACGGGTGCCACGGTCGTGTCCAGGACAGAAAGATAGACCTGATTCCCAATGTCACCACAGGAGGCCGAATGCAGGTACTAGGATAGGTCAACCACAGATGGCAAAGGCACAGATGTAAGGCCGTTGGACAAAAATTTGTGCAATGATACATTCATATGGCGAACCCAGATGCAAACGTGACACACTGTAGTATCATTGGGGTAAGTAGTGGATGAGGTCTCCATCTTCATCCACTAGAGTAACCTAATGCGGATATAAGAAGAGCTTGGCAATTTCCGGAGTCTCTCACAATTTGCAAAATTAGTGAGTGAATTATTGGTGCGACTGCACATTGCTTCATTTCGATAGAGAAAATTGTGTAATTATTGTTCAAGAATATATGGGTATGTTGGATTATGTGGCGAGAAAAAGGAAGAGTCTACATGTTCAGTATTAGCAGCGCAGCAGCCATAATACTTCTGGACCCGGAGGTAGTCAACAGTGGGATGACTGGGCGATCATATTTGAAAGGGACCACAATTGTCATGACAAGGCTCCTCTGATTGCGGTGGAAACCCCACGGAGACGCATGGGCTTGCAGTGAAAACACTAAACAAGTCGACCAGAAGCAGCCAAAAATCTCCAAGCACGAATAGGGCTGTTTCTTGGCTCTCTAGAATGTGGGATGGGACCCAGCTGAGTGTAGGAGCGTTCCATTGGTAGGTATCCTTTGAAAGAATGTACGCTTGAGCCCGAAGTATTCCCGGAGCAAAATAATCCTAGCGATCTCGAAAAGTATCCTTTCTGATGGATTTATCCGGATGTGACCCATCGTGGCATGGGGAATTGTAATCAATGACGGGGACAGTTCAATCTAGCATTGGGTTAGGCCAAGTCCTTACTATGCGACGATGGGGCTTTTGCCGCAAAGTAACAATGGGGTTCTGTCAAAATATGACAGTGGAGAAGGCGCCAACCAATCCGAGAAGGTGATCTCTGCAGCCCGCACGCTCGTAATTTCTCGGACGGAAGTCTAGATCTGTCATCCAGGGATCCTGGTGGACAGAAATGAGGTACAGCAGAGATTTTGACCGCAAGCGGCAAGGGGACAACCGTAGCCTCTCAACATCTTGCGATTGGGATTGCGACTGACTTGTCCCTAGTAAAAGTGAGGAACAGTGTCGAAGCAACCCATCCGTTTTCGGTCATAGATGAGATTCCCGATTTGGACAACACGTGATATAGGGCTTAGGGCAGACGCGTGCACAGGGCAACACGCGTCACGCGTCGCGCCTTCCTGTTTGGGTTCAATTAAGCCCCCGGAGAAACTCGAGAACAGCATTTGCTTTGCCCATCACCAGGCTCGCCCGCAATGCCTCACTCCGTGTCACCTGGCTCTGCACAGAATGACGATGAAATGCCGGATGCCCCCCCGGTCGAGACCTCAACTGAAACTAATGTCAGACTCGAGGATATGTTCAACGACGATGATGACGATGACGAGGAGTTTCCGGCTTCTGGAGATGTGAAGATGGAATCTCCAGCCCCAAAGGAAGAGTGAGTACTCAGCTCGTGTACAGTAATTTTGGACTTACCGGCTGACCGAAGGCTCGCAACAGGCCCCCAGCACCGACACCCTCGGGCGTGGACTCGGATATCATGCTCGCCTTCTATCAGCGACTTTTCCCCTTTCGATACCTTTTCCAATGGTTGAATCATGGCATTGTACCGACGAAAGACTTCGGCAACCGAGAATTTGCACTGACACTGCAAAATGATGCCTATCTCCGATACCAATCATATCCAACTGCTGACCTGTAAGACTTGTTTCAGCCTTTTATCATCCAATCCCTTTCGAGCTAACAGATGCCCAGGTTCCGGAAAGACATACTTAAGATGAACCCTTCTCGTTTCGAAATCGGACCTGTCTACAGTACCAACCCGCGAGATCGCAAAACGCTACGAGGCGGCCAAATGAAGCCAGTCTCCAAGGAATTGGTTTTCGATATTGATTTGACTGATTATGATGACATCCGTACATGTTGTGTCAAAGCGAATATTTGCGCAAAGTGCTGGTCATTTGTGACAATGTCAATCAAGGTTATTGACACCGCACTACGGGAGGACTTTGGGTTCGAACACATCCTTTGGGTTTATTCGGGTCGTCGTGGTGCTCACGCCTGGGTGTGCGATCCCCGAGCACGAAATCTACCGGATGATCGACGCCGAGCTATTGCTGGTTATCTTGAGATGATTCGGGGAGGGTCACAAAGCGGGAAGAAAGTCAACATCAAACGGCCACTTCATCCCCATATTGTACGCAGTCTTGAGTTGCTTAAGCACGACTTCGCTCGGACCACACTCATTGACCAAGACACATTTGAATCCGCCGAGCAGGCAGAGCGCCTTCTATCCTTGTTACCCGACAAGACATTGAACGAATCCCTACGTAGGAAATGGGATTCCTCTCCAGATCGTGCCAGCACTAGCAAATGGGCTGATATCGATTCACTTGCAAAGACTGGTAAGAGCAGTACGCTAAACCCGGCGACGCTCCGAGATGCCAAGCAAGATATTGTCCTGGAATATACCTACCCACGCCTGGATGCTGAGGTCAGCAAGAAGATGATTCACTTGCTCAAGAGTCCCTTTGTTATTCACCCCGGGACTGGCCGTATTTGTGTTCCCATCGATCCTCGCAATGCTGAAAACTTCGATCCTCTCACCGTCCCGACGGTAATGAGCCTCCTCGCCGAGATTGATGAATATGACGCGAAGCACCCCGCCGGCACAGCGGAGGCAGATATCCCTGATGTTGAAGGCAGTGCAATGAATGGCTCCGACATGAAGGGTGGCCGTAAGGTGCAGGACTATGAAAAGACTAGCCTGAAACCTTATATCGACTTCTTCCGTTCCTTCATCGCAGGGCTCATTAAAGAAGAGCGTGCTGGCAAGCGTGAACGCGATGACAGTGGCCCTGCTGTCAAGGCTGATCCTATGGAATTTTAGCCACGGCAAGGTTCATGTTTGTTCCCTTTGCCTAGCTTTCCTCGTAGGACTACGACTTTATGCTTTGTTAATCAGTTCCGCCGATTTCATTTTGGACTTATATCAAGGGATTGCACTTTCGAGGAGTTGGGGTTTATTCTGCATGGAACCGAGTTATTTGATTCTACGTTTACTACATACCTTGTTCTCTTCAAATTTATAAATTGAATAAGATAATCCCTCGGCTGTGGAGCTTATCAACTTGCAATATGTACAAAGTAAGTTAAGAGGTAGAAGTATAATTATTTGGTAAGTGAAGTGATTGTATATTGGGAATATTGGTACAAGTAGAGTCGCACAAGTAGTTGCACAAAAGCTAACCATGATATGGAGGCACGAGGGTGGTATCTCCATATCAGGCAAACTTCTCATTATCGAAAGGCACCCCGACAGGATTAAGAGGAAATGAGCCGCAGGTTAAATTGGATAGTTAGCTTAAGCACCAATGAAGTTCTTGACGGCTAAAGGAGAAAGGCATTGTTAGCACGAGTCACATAAACATTATATAGGAAGGGAAACATACTCTCCAACCAGCGCAAGTACTCCTTCTGCTCCTTGACGGAGATGTAGTCAGGAACCATATTGGCGAACTCGGCGTTGAGGCCACGGTCCTCGAGGTAGCGGTCCCAGAGACCCTGAAGGTCCTCATCGAGGTTCTCGAAGGGAGGACCGGCGTAGAGGCTCTGGCGGGCCCAGTCCTTCTCAGCAGTCAGGGACTGAGCGAGCTCAGCGTTGGCGAAGTGGGAGACCTCCTCGATCTGGAACACACCGTCCTGGACAACGGTCTGGATCAGAAGGGCACCGTTGTTGGGCTTCTCAACGGTGATGGTAACGCGGGCAGGGAAGCTGGGCTCCGGCTGCTCGATATCCTCAGCGGAGGCCTCGCCATCCTGACCGCGGGACTGGTTCTGGAAGTCCATCTCATCGGTCAGGGAGGCGTCGTCAAAGTCCTCCTGTTCGCTGATGTTCTGGATATCGGCAACAGTGAAGCTGACACGGATGCTAAACAATCATACATATTAGCATTCATCATCAACATTGAAACAAAACAAAAAGCCGGAATGGGGTTGTATGAAACGTACTTCTCGGTGCCAAACTTCTTGGTGAGGATAACCTCCTGGTCACCCGCAACATCCTTCACCTGCCATTCGCCGTGCTTAATGGTCTCCTCAATGGCTTCGAGTTGATCTTCAAATTCGGGGATTTCGGAAGACTTCTCGTGCTTGAGCTCATCCTCGAGCTTGGCGAGAAGCTCGACGTCGACTGTAAAAATAAAATCCAAAATTAGCGCAAGGCCACATACGGAGTCCGCCACCAGACACCATCGGATTTCGGCGGACCCATTCAAATATCATTCAATGTATCTTACCTTCGGATGAAGGAGCCTTGAAAATGCTAGAGGTTGAGAAGGCAGCGTAGGCGGGCTTAGTGGTCTGCTTCCAGGCTTGCTGGAAAGCGGGCTTGGGGAACGCTGGGCGCAGAGCCGAAGTGGCAATGGAGCGCGAGAAAGTGCGCGGGATAGAGCGGGTGATAGTGCGAAGAGAAAGCATTGTGAATGTGGATGGTCTTAAGTTGATGAAGATGAGAGAGCTCGGGGAAAAAGTAAATGAGCTAAGTTATTACGAGTGCCAAGACCGGCGCTTCTGTTTTGGCCGACTTTGCGCGACCACGCCATTCGATTTTATATTTTAAGCAAAATGTATATATAATTCTAATTGACTGATATTGACTTATATTGAAGATTATAGTGGATGATTTGGGTTGATTGAAATTCATGTCATAACTCGCCCTACTATATTCGCACGAAAGGACTAGTTGGAAGACCTGGCGCATGAGAAACTATATAACCAACTAGATGGACAATACAAACGCATTGAATTGAAATGGTATATTCGAGAATATTCGGCTGTACAGAATCTAGAGAAAGAATCAATGTACCCATAATGCGCCAACCCAGTCTTTTTGGACACCAGACAAAAATAATATAGAAAAAAAAAAAGATAATCGTGATCATGACATGCTCTTGGGTGGGAAAGTAGAGGTGAGTTTCTCTCCAGTTTTGGTGAATCGCATGAACTTGACGGCACTGAGACCTGACCAGTGTCCATTCCAGTTCTTCATTGCGGTCATCGCATATTGATCACTTAGATCGGGCATCCACAGTCCGGTCGAGAATTCCCGATCCTCGGTTTGGACCCGCTGTTTCAAGGCTTCTTCGCGCTTGCTAGGAGGGCGTCCTTTCCGGCGTTCTGACTCAAGTTGTTTAATCTCGTCGGTATCACGGTCAATGTACCTGGTTTGGGTTAGTCTTGGGTTTGCTGGTGGATCGTTGGTGTTACATACTTGGCGACGAACTCGGAAATCTCTTCGATCGAGAGGGCCTCAGTAAGTTCTTGGATAGCCTCATAGATGTAATCAATTCGGTCCACTGTTTGAGTTAGTTGGGTGGCCTTCAATTAGAATGGGCGGCTGTCTCACAGTATGGCTGTCTTGCACGGTTCACAGTGGCGTTATGGCGGGACAATCGATCGTCGCGAGCACCAGCTTTGCGGAGTCGGTGGGCATCGCGACTGTTCTCATGAAGCACATTAGTCGCAGTGCGTTTCTTGGTAATCTGCTTGTGCACTTTTTCTAAAGTAACAGGCATGGTTGCGGGCTGATGACAAGAATTACTCCAAACACTCCGCCGTAGATTTCGACGATAATTTTCGTGGATGCACCGGCATAATTAGGCGGTGACTCCGAAACCACCGCCTTCCCCACTCGAGGAAAGCGCGTCTGCGCGTCGAGATAGGGACATTCCAGGAGTTATTTACTCCCTCAATTCTTTAACTGAGACTTGATTTGGACCTCGCATTGTATTCCATATTCATTAGTCTGCCACTTTTGGAAATCTCAACTTATGTTATCATTTATTGCTTGAATACGAGGACCCGCCTGTCCCTTGAACGGTGTCCACCATGGGCATTAAAGGTATGTTATCTTGTGACAGTCTAGGGGGAAGATGAAAGGTGATTTTAACGCCAACAAACAGGACTGCACGGGCTTCTCAAGTCCATTCAGAAACCATGTCACATTAAGAGTTTCAGTGGACAAACACTTGGAGTCGATGCATATGGATGGCTGCACCGTGGAACTGTTGCTTGTTCCGTGGATCTGGTCCTGGAAAAACCTACTAGGAAGTATGTCTGTTTGCTATCTTCTCCCATGCACTCTTGACTGACAACTTATCTCATGGTAGACACATAGATTTCGTCCTCAACCGAGTCCGTATGCTTCTCTTTTTCGGAGTGAAACCCTATCTCGTCTTCGATGGTGATAATCTGCCCAGCAAGGCAGGCACCGAAAAGGATCGCTACAGACGGCGCCAGGAAAGCAAGACCCTTGGACTGGAGTTACAACGAAAGGGGAGAACGCCAGAAGCTTACCAGGAGTTCCAAAAGGCCGTTGATGTGACTCCATACATGGCCCGGCAGTTAATCGAGGAACTGAAACAAATGAATGTGCAGTATGTGGTGGCACCGTACGAGGCAGATGCCCAGTTGGTGTATCTCGAGCAACAGGGCGACATTGATGGAATCATATCTGAGGACTCGGATTTGCTTGTCTTTGGAGCAAGGCGGTTGATTTCCAAATTGGACCAACATGGGGAATGCATTGAGATAAACCGCGCCGATTTTACTGCCTGCCGTGAGGTCAGCTTGGTTGGCTTCAGTGATCCGGACTTCAGAAACATGTGCATTTTGAGCGGTTGTGATTACTTGGCAAATATTCCTAAGTTGGGTCTGAAGACTGCCTATCGGATTATTCGCAAGCATCGAAGCGTTGAAAAAGCCCTGCGTATGCTCCAATTTGAGGGCAATTTCCGAGTCCCAGCGGACTACCTTGCCAACTTCAAACAGGCTGAGTTGACCTTCCTTTACCAACGAGTCTTCTGTCGCAAGGCTGAAAAGTTGGTGACTTTGACACCACCTGACAAGGATGTCAATTTGGCTACCCTCCCATTTATTGGCGCCGATATGGAGCCGGAAATTGCCGTCGGAGTTTCTCGTGGCGACCTAGATCCAACCACCAAGGAACCAATTACCTTGAACAAGCCCCTATACGCAAATAGATGGACTCTTGGCATCAATCGCCGCCAGACACTGGGTAGTTCATCCGAATTGAAGCCCAGAAAGTCCATCACCACGTTCTTCACCCCGAAGAGGACGCCACTGGCCGAGCTGGACCCTAACAGCCTAACTCCGTCTCCGAGCCAACAACGACTCTTGGAGCGTAATTCAAACAACAGCTGGCAGGCTAATGAAGCTCCCTTCCGCTCCAACTCGGTCAGATCTACGCCTCTGAGAGCGTTCTCTGACCACGGCCCCAGCCCCATGGTCCGGAGTGTGGAGCGCTCATCTTTCCTGGCCCAAAGTGCAAGATCGTCAGCCTTGCAGTCCACAAAAAGGCAGAGACTTTGCTCTGAGGTTGAAGGGGATTCTCTACCTGCTTGCTCCCCTGCCCGCAGTCGCTTCTTTGCTCCTACTTCCGAACAAGCTAGCCCTAGCGGCCAAAAACTCTCCCGGTCAAAACGATCACGAAAATCGGTGATAGGTGTCTTCTCTGATGAAATGGCAGAAGACATAATGTCCAGCATCCCCGATCCCAGTACTGCTCCTGGGCCTGCTGAGGCTAGTCCCGAGGACAACCTTGAGATATCTGGCAAGCCCAGTGAAGTTGAAACGGTTTCTACTCCCACCCCCAGCAAAACCCTGATGCCCGAGCACCTCGAAATATCCCAGAAGAGCCCCAGGCACACCACACCGAACTCTCCAGGTTTCAACCAAGCTCTTGACTACCACGTTGACCGACAAAACACGAATGTACTTTCCAAGTTTACTTTTCAAGCCGGGCACAAGCCTGACCCAACCGCAGATAGCCCTATCATGACTAAGATTCCTGCGATTCCGACTTCTCATAGACCTTCAACGCCCTCGACCTCCAGAAGCCCAGCCGCGATTGCACGGAGCAACGTTTTTCAACGACGCCTGACACCGCTCCAGCGGATGGGGCAGTCCGCTCTGAGTCGATCTAACAGCATCAACATTCCTACTAAACTGCGGGATGCGGAAACTGTCGAACCTCGGGCCGAAGCCCCTTCTCCTGTCATACGTAAAGAGTCTTCTTTTGCGGGAACCCAAGGCAGTGAAGATCTCATTGTCCCAGACAGTGAGGATGAAGAGGACGAGGATGAACTAAGCACAGGGCCCCCGACTACTCTTGATCTCAAACGCTTTTCTTTCGCCGCAAATTAGCCTGCATCTCTATTTGATTACGGAGCATTAGGACAGGAACATCAGGTCTTGGTATCCGGGGTAGCATTGGACCACTGGTTTGTTGGGTTCCACTTTGGCGCGTAACCTATGGGTGTTAATACTTTTTTTTTTTTTTTTTTTCCAATTGGGGTTATTGTTTGACATAGCGTTGGTTAGGGGTTGAAAATCATAGGATCTTGAAACATTAAAACGTGCCCAATCCGTAAATTGTACATCAAAGTAGCCGTAGACGGCCCAATATCTAAGAGGCTGGGTGAATCGCGTGGCTTGTGGAAGTGGGGCAAAGGTTATCGGGATCTGCACTAGTACAAATCGGGACTAAACACCGCCCAGACTCTCCCGTGTGAGTTGGCAGAATGACCCACATAGAAGGCGGTCTGATCTGGTTACCAGGGAAGCGGGAGAGTAAACAAGAGCGGTTGGCCCAGCCTCCCAGATTTCCTATACTCTTGCCTCATCCCCAGCCTCCAGAGAGATTCAGAGAATCTGTCAATTAGTCTGACGTTGAGTTTTGTGCCTGCTACGATCTCTTCTTTCCCTCCCTTCCATTCTTTCTACACATTCCCTCTCTTTCATATACTTCCCCCCTGTACTACACACAGGCGTCAAGTCATATCATATCTCTGACCCATCTGGATAATCCACTTTAGGTGCGATCCGGATTCCACATTATTATCAAGTATTTTGGATAATCTTCGAAGTATTCTCAGCACTGAATACACCCTGAACGATCCGATCTTTATCCGACTCTCCACATTCTTCATCTACATTCCATTCCAACGATCTTGATCTCGATTCACCGGTCATCGCAATCACACGAACCAACACAAAGTGCGCCACGGGTTGTACAATTGAGTCCTGTGATCGCATTCAGTTCAAGCAACTCCTTCTCGGAGACCCGAGAAGCGAGTCAAGAAAAAAGCGAAAGAGTTCGACCTCGAGGTGGTCCTAGTTGAATACAATGGCTGCTCCTTTTGCTCAAAAATGGGCCCGTAAGTGACGACATTCCAAGAGTCAACATACAATGGGATTGTCATTAATTCTCCATGCAGGGTTCATTCCAATGATCGGGTACCACCACGTGTTGATGATTATCATCGCAGTTGCTATCATCTTGTTATGTGAGTGCCTATCTCACACATTGCCCTCTGCCGGAATGTGGCTAACAAATTGCAGCACTTCTGTTGGCCGGCTGCTCTTCATCGTCCCCACAGATCCCCAACATATTCCTTATCTCCCTGTACTATGAAAAGTATAACCCGATTAGGGATCTCGCACAGGTCGACCCAGGTGTTGTGACCGCCCTTTCTAACATCGTCGGTGGCGCAGAATTGGAAGTCCGAGTGGGATACTTCGGTATCTGCGTCCAGCCCGATAAAGGTTCCTTTATTTGCAATGCCAATGCGACGGCGCTGGCTGAAATTGTTACTGTGGATCAAGATCCACTCAACCTGATCTGGGTTGCGTCGACGTTCAAAGATGCTGTTGTGTTCCCGTATCTCCTGTGAGTAACTTGCACTTTCTTATTGTTGGATAATACTAATTCTCATGCAGGATTGTTGCTGTCATTCTCGCATTCTTCTGTTTCATCCTCCTGGCGACATTCCCTGGCTGGCACGAGGAAGTCGATGACTCTGGATCCGAGCGTGAAGTCAAGCCTTTCCCCTCGCGGCCCGTCTCCCAGGCTGCGCTAGCCCTGATTTTTGTCTCCTCGGTGTTTGTTCTGGTGTCTGTACTATGGCAGCACACAGCGTCTGTCGCTGCTAGTACAATAGCGCAAGACATGGGGAATGGAAGTGTGAAGAGCGGCGTTGGCTCATCTGCGATGGTACTTGGCTGGTTTGGCTTTGTCCTACTAGTCATAGTAACTGTTGGCTTGCTGGTCATGATCTTGAGTATCAGTCTGATCCGCAAACTGACCGACGAGGAATAATCTAAATGATTCATCCTCAACGCCGAAGCAAGGAAAACTTGCTCTTTTCGCTTTTGCTTTTTCTTTTCGCGACTTGCTTACACCTACCTCTTCTTCGCCTACGACATACCTTACCCTTATAATGGGACGACACAAATGGGAAATGAATAATACCTATGAGCACACGACACTGGCTCAATTCACGGAATGGATGGGAACGGAACACACGACACTTGGGATTTTTGATTTCCCCACGGGGAATTTGGGATTTGGACAGTTGATTTTTACGAACATATTTGAAGATATGGATCCTCGCATGCTTTTTCTTCTTGCGATTTGATACGAGTCATGTTGGTCGCTTCATCTCTAAAATCTTATTTGGCAACTCTGTCAATCTGTCAGGATAGAATGAATGCAATGCCATCGAGTCACATCTTGTACAGAGCTTTTTTGCTGGTGTTTTCTTTTTTGAGTGGACTTTTGTTTTATGTTCAGCACACGGCGTTTGTTTGATCTGGTCATGTATACCACAGCCTCTTGTTTATTCCCATGCTGTGTTCGCCTTCTGCTTCTCACGCAGAACTGCAAATGCTAGTTAGTCCTTATGACACAATGTCAAAAATGATACTAAAGTCAAGTCTTCATAACTCAATCTCTTCCTTCACAGTGTTTTATGTTTACAGCAACTCTCATGGTTACACAGAGCCTTGATATGCTTAAATATAATCTTAAAACACCCGAGGATTGCCCTGGTCTATGAGTCGTCCGTGGAATCTATCCAAAATGATCACAGAGCCCGCGCTTCATCATTCTTTGTGCCCGATCAAACATCTTGGGACACCCAAGTCAGTACCCTGTTCATACTCGATAATGGCTCAGAAGTCGTTTCCATGGTTAGTTGTGCGCTTACATGATTTTGAACCTTAGAAAGAAACTCGTTGGAGCATTAGCAATGACAAGGCTGACCGCAAGAAAGTGCATGATTTGGTAGTGAATTTGTGAAGGATGAGACCTGGAAGTTGATCCTCCAAGGCAGCAAGCAAACAGCTACGTCGAAGTCGAACATCAATGAGATCAGCACACCTTTCATTTCAATTTACATAAGAATCGTCTAGTTAGATCCACGCAACTATACCTGATTTTCCCTCGGCTTTCCTACTCGAACTGGCGCTTTCATAAGAATAAATGACTAGAGGGGACAGAAAGGAACAAAAGGGACAACACCCGAAAGAACAGTTCATCTGAAGTACTATTCATTGACAGAGCAATTATGTGATAACTTTTGCGTCTTCCATTGGCACATCAGTGGAAAGAGCAGCTTTCGCATGATGAACAAGTTATCTTGGTGCCTGCTCTGTTGCCCCCTGTTACGCTGAATGTCTGACTAGTATTTCCATTCGGATTCCAAGGTCACCTAGGCTGCAGCTCGTCATCACTGGGACTGTCAACCTTGTCGCCATGTGTGCTACCTACAGCGGCCTATTCTCGCTCGAGGCGACGCTGGTCCGCAAACTGGCCGCCACCTCCGCTATCATGTTCTTGCATAGAGGAGCCAATACCTTCCAGGCCGGAGGGTTGCTTCTTGCGGCCATGGGCACCGTTATGTCTGATCTCAGCGATGGTCTGACCCTGCATCGGCGTCCCCAGGCCGCGGTTCACATCACCCGAGGTGGCTCCTAGTAATGTATCCGCGGCCGATGTGTAGGTGGCGACTTCATCTTCTTGTCCCGCGCTCACATTGGGGTTGTGGGCTTGGCCAGGGATTGAGGAAACGGGGTTGGGGGTATAGGAGTTGCTTGCTGGGGCTGTCCCGGTACGGAATGGCTGCGCGTGGTATTCGGGGTGCTGGTCAGCCTCAGTGATTTTGCGGCCGAGTTGATGCTGTATTAGACTTGGGTTAATGCGGAGTACAGACTGTGAGTGCTACATTCAAACATACACCTTTGGTGGTCATTGGCTCTCCGCGAGGGGCGGAGGGATTAAAAGCACCCTGTTTGGCATTCGCGGCGTTGTCGGATTTTGAAGAGTGACTCATTATGAATGTGGATTTCCTCTCCAGGCTGAGAATCAGGAAAGAATTGGATTATAATATAATCGTCTTTCTTTATATTTCAAGGCCTATGATGTAACTATGTGGTATATATACCACAGTCTAGCAAATCAGCACAATTGAGACAAGAAAGGGTTTCTAGTCGTTGCTGCAACTTCTCCACGAAGGCGAGGGATGAAGTGAAAATGACATCAAGTCTTGTTCGAACCAGCATATTTGGGCCAATTTACTTCATTCAAAGAGCGTCGAAAGAGCGTCGAGACACTATAAAGTTGAAAGTCATGACTGACGGCATTAACTGTACCCTAAAACCTGGCATCTCTATCATGGAAACTGGAATTTGACCTTTTGATGGTGGCAAGACACTCGATGGAAGATCGAAGAAGCTTATTTCCGATAAAAAGGATAATAGAGAGGTTTATGTTGTTCCTAGGACTGCTCAATTCGTAGCGGAAGACTTAGATCCAATCGAATTATTCATGTACAATATATATCAAGCGTAAAATAGAGTGGAATGGAACTGTTACAATCATCTTCCATGAAATACAAGGCCCATCACAACAACCCAAACAAAGATATCCGGCTTTTATTTGGCTCTTATTCAGTCTCATCAATTTCTAAGGTGCCTGGATTATGTGCCACCATTTTACCATCCTTGTTCTCGAAGCGTATCTGTTCAGAGACAACACACTCTTAGCATGATAATCTAGTCACAATTTTGGATCATATTATTCTACTCACTTTTGGCGGATTTTTCACACCAACCTCTTCCGCTCGCTCCTGATCTGTGATTACCTCTTCCACCTAAACATATTATCAGAATATAACTCCAAGAAAGGGTTGTCCATAAGTTGTCGTTTTACTAACACGTCCTTCATGCGTTCCACCGCGGATTCTGGTAGAAACATAATCGCCGTGAGTAATAACATTGCCGTATTTGTCTGTAACTTCCTTATGTTCGTTATCACGCATAATGTTCAGTGTTTCTGGCAAATATGGAATAAGTGGATAATAATTCAAATCGACTATACTAAATATCGGGACCATAGCCATACGATATATATCGCTACATATATTCGTCTGAGTGAGGACTGTATTCGGTAGAGTCACGATGACCTCATGTTACCTCATCCCCGTATATCTATCTAAATTGGCCACCACGAACAGATAGGACTACCAGTATGCCATGACCTGACGCCACTAAGCCAGCTTGAGTAGGGTCAGCCTTGGCGACGGAGACAGACCGTAGATACCGGGGTGGCTAGCTGATCTGCCGATATGAACGGATAGATGTCTATACCAACATATGCAACGTCCATATTGCACTATCCATATCTTGAATACGCAACTAAAATATAGGACACTCTGGAGTAATTATTGGCATTTGGAATTCATCCCCTGCATCACGTCATGGGGGTTTTTCATTCTAAGGTTGGTTCGTTATTTCATTACTCGTAAAGGGTAGAGGTATACGAGAAAAAAAAAACATGTCAATATCTCCCAGATGTTCAGGGTTGGGTAGTCCCAAATTGGAACTTCATATAAAACCTGCAGTAGTCGTTGACATCAACATTAAGTCCGTGGTGCACGCATTACATTACGGGGCAACGCTGAAGAATGGTGTTGTTACTGGAGATGGAAGGCTTACATGTCCCTCGCATGGAGGTGAGTTTCTCTTTGTTTGGATCTCATTTTGTCCACTCAAAAGAAAAGAACAAATAACTAACAGCACCCTACAACATATATAGTTAGTAAGATACTGTTGGGACAGCGATTTTACTATTGGGACAGTGGTCTAACCCAATTAAGTAAGGGCTGTTTTGGCATTATTATGGTGCATTATTATGGGGATTATTGAGCAGATCACGGAAGTACTATGTGGCTGGGGTGGTTCAGGGGCCGTGTTTTTTACTATGGTGATACCATAATAAATGACACTAGGCTGAAAAATGCGTGCCACCATTATATCACGTGATTATGCCTAATAATAGATCACGTGGTTATATATAATAATGCTACTATTAAATCACGTGGTTATGCTTGCCTATAATGATACTACTATTATGTCACGTGATCTAAGATAGACAATATTGATCACGTGATCTAATTATTATAGACAATTATGATCACGTGATTTAATGGTGGTATGTATGATCACGTGTCGGTAGGCTTAATCACGTGATATAATGGTGGCATTATTATGGTGCATTATTATGGGGATTATTGAGCAGATCACGGAAGTACTATGTGGCTAGGGTGGTTCAGGGGCCGTGTTTTTTACTATGGCGATACCATAATAAATGACACTAGGCTGAAAAATGGGTGCCAAGGCTAAAATCCTAAAGGGGTTTAGACCCACTGTCCCAATAGTAAAATCGCTGTCCCAACAGTATCTTACTATAGTTATACGACGGTGTATAGCGCTCAATGCTGTGTGCCTGAATTTAATGCATGGGTGCCTTATTTTGACATGACTTATGCCTGAATTAAGCCTTGTTTTAGACCGCTTTCAGGCCACAAACTACAGTACCGTGACACAGCAAAAGTTTTCGCACCCCAAATTCTGCCGGTCAGATATCCACCAATCAGCAATTGACGGATAACTGGCGGTATCACAAATTAGGAAAGCGGTATATTGAATTCAGAAGGCGGTAGAGGAAGGGACTGTCTACTTGTAACCAACTCGGCATGGAATAACTAGGCGCCGTTAACCCGACGGAGACATCTCCATGTTTTTGGCGGCTTGTAAGATAAAAAGCTTCATGTTGACACTTGCAAACCGTCCAAAAACATGGAGATGTCGCCATTTGTATGGAGACGAAAAGTAATTCATGTATTTTTATTTTTCTGCCAGGCCAGAATAAGGCACCCAGGCCAGGCACTAGGCATTGAGCGCTATACACCGCCGTACTATAGTTATAGCCTATTACAACGTCAAAACTGGCGATGTTGAAGACGCCCCGGCACCCAAACGCATTGAATATGTTCGAAATCCTCAAAGAGAAAATGGCGTACATGCTAAAGAGGAAGTCAAAGAGTTGTGAAATGTAGCGTGAGTAGACCCGAGGATAAGGTTGTTGTTGTTGGAGGGTAAATCGTACATTTTTTTTTTACCTCATCATTCTGCACATTTCGCGTGATATATTGCACTGGTCGGTATGTATGTATGGATGGGCGGGAATTTGGCCAAGCGGTAGTCGTTGGCGACTTATTGGCAGCATACCGCTTGTTTGGAACCCGCCCATCCTCAGCTTGAGTGCCGCTTGATCTCAGGTTGCCGGATCGCCTCCGGGCGATGACTTTTTTATTTTCCGACTTTTTTTTTTTTTGAGGGGATACTACTCATGCTGCTCCTCATTGCTCCACTACAAGACCCAGCAAAAATAGCCGGAAATTTACTTCATGTATTTTTATACGCAGAGGTGTAGTCGTAGTGGCCAGGGTTAACTTCAGATTTAATGTATACATGTGATGCCTTAATGCCTTAATTCGGCAGAAAAACAAAGATACCTGAATTACAATTACAGAGGTCCGCGGGTGCCTGAATATCTGGCCCCATAAAGGCCAACATCAGGCCAGATTAAGGCCAGATTAAGGCACTAAGGCCGCAATCCATTGCCTTACAACCGAAGTTAACCCTGGCCACGAGAGAAAAAAAGAAACATCTCCTAGATGTTCAGGGTTGGGTAGTCCCAAATTTGAACTTCATGTAAAACCTACAGTAATCGTTGACATCAACATTAGTCGTTGTCGACCTACAAGCCGCAACAAAAATAGCCGGAATTTCCCATGTAGAGTTATTTTCCTCATTGAAGTCGACTCCAATATGGATTGGTTCTTTTCATCGTTTCTAACCTGGCTTTGGCCACCTGACCCTTGGTCCCCGTATCCCAAATCAAGAGCCAGAATCCATTATAGGGAGAAAACGACCGCGGAGACGACACTGGAACAAAGTGGAGACCTGAACATTCTACAAAGATTCCGATATGCAGCCCACAGGGACGATAAATATGCCACGCGAATTCCAATAAGGCAATTCTTAGACACAGAACAAGACATCCGACATCACACCCAAGAAGAGTTATTTGCGCGTGAGCATGACGATGGATCGGAACAAATGAAAACCTGGCTCGATTATGTGAATAAGACAATCTGGAAACTCACTCGAGAATGGTGGGAGTATAGGAGTGAATTCGGAGAAGGAGTTGTGTCGCGGGCATTCGACTTGCGGCGGTCACATCCTGCATGGTATATGCATGAGGTCCTAGTTGAAGACTGTGTGAGAAAGCAAGGGTGTTGTTCTCGGGAGTGTGGATGCTGTGCGAAGCGGCAGCTATCAACACCCCAACTAGCAGCTGGGCATTGTGCTCTTACGTGTGGATGTTGCCGAACAGCTCGGGGCTTTGAGCTCACCAAAGAGGAAGAGAATGAAATCTACGCGGCCCTTGATTTCCAGGCAAATAGGAACTTTTACGATCGGATTGAGTTGGCTTCTATCTGGGGATTGCGCTTGGATGACTATGAGAGCCCCTTTGATCTCATTAAGTCAGGACGTGAACAGGTTGATGATGGGAATGGCAAGTTATGCAGTACTGATTATACTGAGAATCGGGATGACGACTCTTCAACAACGGAGGAATCTTGATTCATGTCGACTCACCAAGTGCTTAGCTGTACAAAATTGGTCTACCTACTGTTTGCTCTAAAATGTTCTTGGATCTCGCTTATTTAATGGCTTTGATTCGCCTCGAAGATAATTTCATCTAACAAACCGCTTCAGAAAATGGAAACCAGCGATGCGGACATCCCGAATGGTCCAGTGGAGCCGGTTGTCAATGGGCTCCCTAAAGCAGAGGATCTCGAGACACCTCCGCCAGCCCCAGGCTCCTCACAAAATACGCAACAAGAGCAAGTTGTGGCAAGCGATCATACCTCCTTGGCTGCCTCAATCGATGGGGACAATCTGAGTTTGGGACCGGCGACAACTTGATGCATCACCCCCTATAATTCACCTCTGAAATAAGACGTCCACGTCTGCCAAATCAAAGTCCGCGAGGATCCCATGTAGATGCCGTGCTGCTGCGATGAATGGGTTCGTGCTAGTTTTGTGGACTTGGACAATGACAGTGATAGGGTTTAACTCCCTCACTGCATCTGTTCCATAGCTAGAAGTGAGGTTGATGAGAAGTGAGGTTGATGAGAAGTGAGGTTGATGAGAAGTAAGGTTGATGAGAAGTGAGGTTGATGAGAAGTGAGAATAATGAGAAGTGAGACAAAAATAAAAGAAATAGATTTCACTTCTTAATCAGTTTTTAATCTGGGAATGATCACTTACAAGGGTTCCTAGCGAGTATAGGCCATACAGCGCAGCGATGCAATATGTGGGCTGTGGTCCTTCAGAGGTTTGGGGGTTGGTAGGTGGTAGGACCAAGGGGCTGATCCAACGTACATCGCTGGATTCTTTTGTTAGTTCTAAAGGGGTTAGCAAAAACGCACTAAAGCAACCAAAGTAGGAGGGAAATAAGACAATGACCTGGAAATCCATTGAGAGAACTTACGATCCATATAACCCCTGGAGGAGAGCCATGAAGCATGAAGGAATCATCGGCATGGCCGATGATCCTCTTGACGATCTCCCAAAATGCCATGAATCTGAGTACCTCCCAAAAGAACCTCCTCATCACCGGTATGCCGTGGCTTTCACCGAGCTTAATTAGCTCCACCAGCTAGTCACCTCCATCCCCCCCCACCTTCTAGCCAGCCTAACAGCATCGCTGAGGGATTGGGACCTGCGATCATAGGTTAACACAACCCCAAATGCAATCAAGTAAGAAGACTGACTGTAGGAGAAACACTTCCTGTGGGTGATACTCCCAACACCAGTCCCAGGTTGAAAGGGTGTAGGAAGTGAGAGTGTCGAAAGACAAAGAAACGAACAGAAAGGAACCTTGGTGGAAGATGGGACAACGAGAGAACATCAAAAAGACAAGCAGACCTCCCACGCTGACTGGACAGAGGTATCTAGCCACATAGAGCAACAGGGTAAAAAAGTGACTTTAGAAATTCATTTTGTTGGTGTTGGTGTTAAAGTGAAGTTCTGCTGTTGTCGACATCCTTGACTCGCAGCTACACAGCTCTGCAGCTCTGAGACAGGCACGCCCCAGGTTATTTCCCACATATACCCAAGTATATAAATATCTACAGACTCAAAACAAAGCTCATTCAATAATACATTATGTTCAAGCAACCTTTAGAGATGCTAATTCACTTCAGATTCACTTCAGATTTGATTTGCTTTGAAAGTCACTATGCCTATTTTAGAAGTTATTAACTATGATTTATAGGTATTCAGACATCTTTAACCATCTACAACATTAGTGGATCTAAATTACTGGCAATATGAACCAATGAGAGAGTTATGTGTCGGTGCATACTTAGTTGCCTGTATTTGATGACAGAAGTTGCTGTGGGAAAGGCATTTGCTAATACTTTGACATATTGTACATCACTTCGCCCCGGAAAAAAAAAAAAGAACCAAATAATCCAGTCCACCTATATCACATTCTACAGAGAGATATAGTCCTCGCAGCGGGTAATACCAAGCTGCTGAACCAAAAATTCGTTGACAAACTGGCACTTAGGATCCTGGCGCTTCTGGATGGCCAAGAACTCGGGCAGCTTCGGGAATTTTTCCAATGTGTAGGTAGCATTGGGAGCACTCATCTTGTTCCAGTGGGAACGAACGTTGTAAGTTTCACCAAAGTGAGGGAGGAACTCATGAGCCAACTCCTGGTTTTGCCAAAGAGTGGTAAAGTTGTTATACTCTTGGATCCAGTCGATCTCGATGATGGCAAAAACTCCGCTAGACTCGGGGCCAAGGTTGTAGTTGTTCACAGGAGACATATATGTATCATCGGCCTTGAGAGTACGGTGCTGGATGACCATCTGCTTGTTGTAGGGAGCCTTCATGCGAGGAGTCTGGGCCTGCTGGAAAATGGTGTAGTTGGTGGCGGCTTCCGCATAATTCTCAATAGGAAGGAAGTGCTCGATCTCGGCGTAGAAACCTCTGTCGCAGACACCTTGGGGAGAGCAGGACGCAGCGTCGGTGACTTCGTCGTAGCAGATGTACTCCTTCTTGCAGTCACCGCAGCCATTTGCGCAATAGTTGAGAGTGCAGTTGCGAACACCGGTATAGTTGGTCGGCTCCCAGTAAGAAAGGAAGTAAGTAGGCTCGAGGGCCCAGCTTTGGGAGTCTGCATCCCAGTCAAAGTGAGGACCCCAGACAGTCATACGGTCATGCTCCTTGTACAGTTGGGCAAGCTCCTTGTACATTATGGAGTAGTCAGAAGTGGCATTCAAGACCTTGGTGGTTTTCTTCATGAGTTGGGTAGGCTGGACCTTGATGGTCAACTCGGTGATTAAACCGAGGGCTCCAAGACTGATACGGAAAGCCTTCAGTTCTTCTGCATCGTGCTTCTCGTTGATGACACGGAGGTTTCCCTGCGAGTCCAGCACACGCAGACCAATGATCTGGGTTGCGATATTACCGAGGCTGGATCCAGAACCGTGGGTACCGGTGGAGGCAGCACCGACAAAGTTCTGAACACGCTCAACACCGAGATTGCTAAAGGACAAGTCGTTGGCCTTCAGTTCTTGGGTAAGGTCATCGACATCCCAGCCGGCGCCAAAGGTGACGACCAGATTCTTCTTATCGATATGGAGCTTCTTGAGATTGGTGAGGGAAACGATATAGGTGGGCTTCTCAGTGAGGGTATTGTCGACACAGGTAGTAAGGTTACCGAATCCATGACCATTTCCAACAACTTTGATATGGGAGCCCGTGGGGTATTGCTCCTTGAGAAACTTGGCAGTGGCATGTTCATTCTCGGGAGCAATGTAGGCGTCAGACTGGCAAGTGACCTCAAACTGCCAGTTGAACCAGCGATAGGCGGAGCCAGACACTGCGTGCAGCAGCACCAGCAAGAGAGCCAGCTTAGGGCTAAGCATTTTGGAAACTATGGAATCTCCAATGTTAGTAAAGTGTCTGGCATAAGAGTGAAATTGAAGGAAAGGACTCACAGGAAGTAGGAATGCCCGAACTATGCACAAGGTCGTCTCACAAGAGATATTCTCGCAATAGTAATGATCGAGGGGAATTCTGTTCGCACGGAGGGCCAAAAGAGAACGGAGAACGAAGCCAAGTTATATATGTCGTACAACATACACTCAAATTCGCCTATCTCTCAAACATGCCCACTTTAAGGGCTAAGGGCTAAGGGGGTGTTTTATTCGACGAAACAATGAAACACTCCACTATCGAGCGAATTTCCCTCTTGGCTGGAGCTTTCTGAACCGTGTCGCCTATTTTTGAGTCACTGTCGATCAAGTGGATAGTGACATACCGGTGTAGTTCGTGAGGAAAATCAAACACACTCTAATTTACCTAAAGACTACTATTGTACATCAGCCCACCAAAGGGTTTCTCGGATCAGATAACAGAAATTCGAATGGTTACCGTCATGGGCTATGAAGATCTTAATTAAAGGGTATCCACCTGGTGGCAGTTACAACTCAATTCCAAACTTACTTAAAACCTACTTGATACTTCACTTTACTATGTAAATCCTTGGCGTATCCACACAAAATACATACATACCCTAATAGATCATGTAGCAGAAGCTTGGAATCTTCCAGGATCAGCAACTTTCTAAAGTTGGAAAGGTCCCCGAGGGAGACACATATCATCGTCCGTCCTGTTCCCTCTTTTCAAGGTTATTTGTCCAAACCAAACTTTCCGGTGAAGAAAATGCCAAGGTGGCTTTTGTGTATAGAGACAATTCTTGTGCATAGGACTTGACTAACCTTGGGATCTAGACCCTATTGATTACACATATATAACTACATAGTATCTGACAACAAGGTGCTATTATGTTGTATGTACTTCGTATCTATGATCGACAGCATGTGTTATGCTGTTCGCCGGTGAGTTCGTGTCTTCAGTAGCCCACAATTATTTTACCTGTAACAAATGAAACCGACGAACCTACCTTTTCTAAGATTGCGGGCTTGGAGATCGTACATAAGATTTTCGTAGCCTTGGAATCCAGAATCCAAAGCTTACATATCTACACATTGCTTGACAACAAAGTACTACAATATACTTCGTATCTATGATCGACAGTAGGTAGTATGATCCCCACCGGTGAGTACATCTCTAGCAGCCCACAAGTTTTATTATATCCAACAAACGGAGCCGAGGAACATACCTTTTCTAAGGTTAAGCTCGACGTCAATGTTGGGTCTTCGTACATCATCATCAATGTGCCGTGTGAAGAACTGCTGATCGGAGCTTTATGTGGATGTAGGAAGAAATCTATATATTCATCCTTACCTCTGCAGCCGTCGAGAACCTGTACTGCATATCAACCGATTCAAGGACTTCTTTTTCTTTTGTCTCCGTTCCATTTGAGATTATAGTTCGAGATGAAGTCTATAATCTTCTCGTGCTTTCTCATCTCTGTGGCTGCATCCAAGCGCTACCTACCCTCCGAGCATATCGATATCCAGTCCAGTCTTCTTTCAGATCCTTTCCAGGTCGCCGACAAGACTGTTGACTATATAATAGCGGGAGGTGGCTTGACGGGCCTGACCATTGCCGCCAAGCTGACCGAGGACCCCAGCATCAAGGTCCTCGTCATTGAAAACGGTTTTTATGAGTCCACCAATGGAGACATCATCGAGGATCTGAACGACTACGGAGATATTTTTGGCACCACCGTTGACCACGCCTATGAAATCGTCCCTCACCCCATCAACAACCGTACCGAGAACGTCCGATCTGGAAATGGTCTTGGAGGATCAACTTTGATCAATGGTGGCTCTTGGACACGTCCCCACAAAGCTCAAATCGATTCTTGGGAGAAAGTGTTTGGCAACAAGGGCTGGAACTGGGATACCATGTTACCATACATGCAGAAGGTCGAGATTTCTCGTCCTCCAAATGATGTCGAGATTGCGGCTGGTCACTACTATAACTCTACCTGCCATGGGACGAACGGCACTGTCCATGCTGGTCCCCGGAATAACGGAGAGCCCTATTCCCCAATAATCAAAACCTTGATGGATACTGCTAAGAGTCGTGGTGTTCCTACCCAGCTGGACTTCCACTGTGGTGTTCCTCGAGGTGTTTCTATGATTCCCAATGGACTACACGAGGACCAGATTCGCTCGGATGCCGCACGTGAATGGCTTCTACCAAACTACAAGCGCCCGAACCTGCAGGTCCTGACGGGCCAGTTTGTTGCAAAAGTCCTCATCAATCAAACCGCCACTTCTGGCGCTGTTCCTGGTCACAAGGCCGTTGGTGTAAACTTCGGCACTAACAAGAACGTCAATTTCAATGTATACGCCAAGCACGAGGTATTGCTAGCTTCTGGCTCGGTTGTCTCTCCCCGAATTCTAGAATACTCGGGCATTGGCTTGAAATCTGTGCTCGATGCCGCCGGTATTCAACAAATTGTTGACCTCCCTATCGGTCTCAACATGCAGGACCAGACAACCACAACCGTGACCTCCCGTACCAGATCC